GAGGACACGGCATCTGTGGCACTGCCAGAAATCTTTTGGCAATTGGCCACCTGGACAGACCAGAAGCAGACCATAGGAGGAGACCATGAAACAGGATATGGCCCCAGGTTCTCCCAGGTTCTCCCAGGTTCAGACAGTTGCAGGCCACGACCCGGCAAACGCCGAACAAGTTCAGGACGCTCTGCGAAATCGAGTGTGTTTTGTGTCAGTTGACGAGGTAGTGCGAGACAGTGCGAGTACTACACATTCTCTTCGTAGACCACCCTCTGCCAATGGCTACTACAGTTGCGGTAGTAGTTTGAAGTTTGTAATACTGACAGCAATAGAAACTGTGGTGATACGTGCGCTGTTGATGTCTGACTCACTGATTTGCTTGCGCGTGTAGCCTTCCTGAGCATACAACAAACGCAGTTTCCTTTTTAAGCAGTACATGTTCATCGTCTCAGCTCAGGTCAAGTTGAGCAATGCAGTTCAGAAGGGGCTTGCATGGCTCAGGAATGAAGTAGTAACAGTCGTATCGAAAGGCAATACCTGCACTGCAACACCACTGCTTGCAGTGTGGCCAGCATGACTGACTCCGTAGCGTGAAAGACAAAGTCGCAACACATCAAACCACAAGCCCAAAGCCTTGCGAGGGTTGTAGCAAAAAGCATCGTTGAGCTAACCAGCACCTGCCAAGCCCCATAAAAGCCTCAAGACCTCAAGCAGGACAGAAACTGTCTTACACAGCTTTCATGGATGTTTTATGGTACGAGGCTTTGCCTAGAAAAGCAAAAACCTTGCCTTTTCAGGACACACAAGGGCCTCTTCGAGGTTGCGCGACAGGTCCTCCCTCAGGGCAGACACCTGCTTCAGAGTTCGGCGGCTTGAAGCATCCTAAAGACAAACGTGGGTACAATGCTCCGGATCTCAATTCTTGTGATCGGCAACGTATGGCGTGCCTAGTCGTGAGCTGCTGCAGCCTAGCCCAATGCAAGGCGGGTCAGTAGCCTCGAAACTCTACACCTGTAACGTTGCGGCGGCACCGTCACTTGTGACAGGCGCTTCGGGTCACTTGTGCCCACGTGTTTCGGGTAGGGCAGTCGAATGAACCATCACAGCCAGAATCCAGAGATTGACAACAACGTAGTTTGGGTGGGGGGGGTGGGTGCGTACAAACAAACGGGCGCTGTCTGCACACGGACTTGAGTCGCCCTCCTGTTACACAAGAGCGAGCGAACACTCGCTCGCTCGCTTGCTCGACTCGTACATGTTCGACTGAACCCCCTTTGTTTTTTCCTCGCGAACATAGAAATAAGGCCCATATTGAATTTCGGCGACATGCAAGCGAGCGCGACCGTGAGGGCAGGGAGTCTTGGGAGGCTGGAAGTAAGAGTCACTGGGAACCTCACGGGCGACGACAACGTGCAAAAACGTGCAGTCAAGATCCAGCGGCTGTGAACTGCAAAGTAAGCATCAGTCATACAGGCTTTCGGGGTTTTGGGGTTTCCGGTTTTAGGGTTTACGGGCTGAAGGTTTGACGGCTTTGTTTGAATTTTTTGGAAGCTTTTTTAAGTTTAGTGTTTTGGTGTTGAGGTTTGGGTTTCGAAGTTTGAGGGTTTGGGAGGTTCGGGCTTAAGCTTACCTAGTGTTTCAAGGTTTTGGGCTTTACAGAGTCGCGCTCCCCGTCCCCTGGCCGGTTTCCTCTTTTGCTTTCTTTGCTTGCTTGCTGTTGCTCGAGCGCTTGGTCGCTTGCTTACTTGCTTACGCTCGCTTATCCGCACGCTTGCTCGCTCGTTCGTTCGCTTGCTCAGCTGTGTGCTGAGACGTGCATAGCCCCGTTGGATTTCACGAGTTTTTGGACCATATGCTAAGCATAGACACGGGCACAACTGACCCGCGAGGACGCGGCACAAGTGACCCAGGTCACGTGAGCACAAGCGGCCGGTAAGCCCTGCGTGTGCGGACCCAAAGCTCCCCGCCCATCCGACCTCCTTTTCAATGGCGAAGAGGCGCTGCTCAATGGCTGAAGCTGCCTCATGCTCTGCGAGGCTTCAGAACAGCACTCCAGTCGCATCATCAACAAACTGCTAGCAATCTGGGATAGTAAGACGACAGCGAGAAGGAATCAGGTGGCCAGTGGCCAGTGCCCACGTAGGTGACAAAAGTGTGGAGCGGAGCATGTGTAAGAACTTAATTTGAGTATACGTGTGGGAGCTCCAGCGGAGTAGTTTGCAGTCTTCAAAAGAAAGCGTGTGTCGACGTCTTCGAGGTTTTGGTGGCTCTGTGGCTTCAGGTGTGGGGTTCTAACACAAACCTGGCTACGATTGGCACGCCCTCACCGCCTAGAAAAAAATGAAACAAAACGCACTCACATTGGCCCCTCTTTGTGTTTTACCACCTGCGTGTATGGTTGCGCTGTTTATGTGATCTACTTTGCCTTTTCTGTTTTATCTTGAGGGACCGTTGCTTTTTGAGATCTCCTTGCAACTACCAGCCAAGTGTGGTACACTGCAAACCTAAACATTCTTCAACCTATCGCAGGCACGCCGGGTTGAACACACCCCACGCCACTACACGCTTTGGCTTGTTCGAGACTGCATTTGTGTCCCGTTATTGCTGAAGAAATCGCGATTTTGCACACCAATCAGTGCAAAACCCTACATTGACAGAGGATCCTCACATCTGCATACGCACACACACGCGCACATACACTTTTGCGACCCGGGTCAAAGCCAAAGCGTTGCTTTGTCACTCACTATCTAAAGGTAGGTAGGACATTCATTCAATGCTCTGGTGCATCCCTGGCGTCATTGATTGACATGGAAAGTGAAAAAGCATTGTGGCGTGGCCCGAAGGACGTGTTGTTAGCCAGGAACCTATATACATATGAACCAAAGGACCCCAAGACCAAAGCAAAATACAAAGTAGTCCGAGCCAGACAGTACATGCCTGAACGCTCGCATCAAAGATGCTTGCACACAGCCCTGATCTGTCGTTTGATTGTGATGAACATGCTTGGGTTCGTCCGGGCAAACTTTGCTGCCTGGCCATGAACAAAGCTCTCAATGGCCCATCTGCTAGTACAATCATGTGAAGAATATCACGTGACTGTCACTTCGAAAAAACCATAAGCTTCTAGCGACAAAAGGCCCAGACACACACTAGCTCATTCGCTCATGCACGCAGTGACTGATACGGGTGGGAATGCTGCAGTATACATATATGCACTGCCTAACGGGTTCCCGGAGGTGCCTGCTGCCAAGCCGGCAAGGAACAAACCGCTCATGTCATGCTGCAATGTGCACGTCGCGGCTGCTTTTCTGTGTGGTCATTCATTAGCGTAAGGCAATGTACAGTTTGCTTTGACAAGTGATGATGCAAGTAATTGCAGGCATAGGGGACAACTTCGTTGTGTAAGTTTGGGACATGGACGAACATTGTACAAGTCGCGCTCACATTGTAAACAGACATTGGGCGGGACATGGTGCAATTGGTACACGTACATCCCCAAATCTGGTCTGGCCTCCAACAGGGGCGGTGGTTCGGATCTCAGTTCGTCCGGGGAGCCCTCCTCACCTGGCGACAGGGAACTTCCAAACGACTAAGACGCCCTAGTCCAAAGCAATTGGCGTTCGGCTTGAGGGCTCAGGTATGTGTGAGTAGCTTTCGTCTGCGCGGTGGTGTTACGGGCTGTCATCCATAATCCATGATCCTCGAAAAACCTTCAATTCCTAAACCCGCGCATGCTACATCCCCCATCCAATACACAACTACTCCGCACTGCGAATCCCCCTATATATATATATATATATATAGAAAATCGAAACAGAAGAAGCCCGAAGCCCAAAGCGTGAAGATCAGCTCTCTCCGCCTGAGCGTGCAGACGCAGCCTTCAAGTAGTCAACAAAGCCCTGACGAAGCTGGAATTGGCCTTTTTGGGGTTTAGGGCGTTTAAGGGTAACGGCCAGTTGCTGCAGGTTGCAAGGTCAAGGTTGTTGAGCCTTTTTCTTCGCTTGCGTCTGTAGTCCTTTGCCCTTTCTTCAGGAAAAGTTTCGGTTTCTGAAAACTTCAAAGACCCACATCTGAGACCTCCAAACAGTCCAAACACCCGACTCCACGAAACAGTATGTTGGACAATGACCTCCACATCTCCCTATCGACCCTCCTTGAGCTCCGGAGGCCAGCTGCGGCTGTCGGGGACCATGGCTATCGACTTCGGAGTGCCAGGAAAATCCCGTGTCTTCAGGGGTGCAGGGTTTAGGACGGAGGGCTGGGAAGGATTTTTAGGTTCGGGCTGATTAGGTTTTAAGGGGCTTAAGCGCTTTTTGAAAGGGTTCAGGAATCAGTTTAGGCTCTCGGCACTAGAAGAGAGCGAGGGAGGAGGGTCGAGAAGGAGAAGGCCATGTCATGACGTGTGAGAGGAACCTGTCCAGAAAGTGACTTGAAAAACCTTACTTTGTATACAGGTTCGGCTAATTTCTTCAAGGCCCCAACCGGAAAACCATTCTACAGGGACCTAGTGGCAGCATGTTCCAGCATGGAGTAGCACTGCGCATACACGTCTTGAGCCTTCATCAGATCCCCCACGAAGCAGGGCTGTTCAGGAAGAGGGCTATAAGGCTTTTGGCCCCTAAAGTCACCAAAGGTCACCAAACGTCCAAATAAGGCTTGGGAATCTCAGGTCTAAAGCTTCGTGCCTCTCAAGCTGCGGACTCGGGCTCGGGAGGAGTTCAAGTCATTCTATACCGTATGCACCCATGGTTGCGGATATCATTCTGGGGACGCGCTGCTTCTGGAATTGGCGAAAGCTCGCAGCAGTTCAAGCATTTCAAGCAATTCAAGATTAAGCGACAAATCCAACAACTCAAGGTTCGTTAAACGACAAATCCAACAAAAGATACAAAGCCCTCGAAGCGTACGGTAGTACGAAGTATGAGGCAAGGGGTCTTCAGCTCGGCACTTGATGGCTTGACAGAGCCTAAATGTTGAGCCATCCCAACATCCCAGGTCTGGCGCGCCTCTCACGTCCATGCTCATACTCTCTCCAGCCTTCCCCAAGAAGGCATGGCCTTACCACAGGAGTGTGGTGGGTTTTGGTGTTATTTTGTTTTGCGCAGGCGGTTCAAGAATGGCTGAATCCCAACCCCGAAGAACCCTCAAATCCACCAAGCAAGGTGACAACGTCCAGAACAAAACGCATGGCCTGAGCACAGCCCCGAATCTGAAACTCTTCCCTGAGTTTTGCAGCTTCTACTGTATAGTTTCCAAAGTGGCTGATGTTTGGACACCCGCTAAGCAGACCAAAACCCCAAGCCAAAGCAGCAAGCAAAAAATAAAAAAAACTGCCCGAGCCGAAGATGTGCCAGAAGACCACCGCATTCCAACTCGCCGGTCGCTGGGTTCGGTTCTCAGGGCTTGGAGGGTGACAATCACGGTTGCGGTTACGGATTCAGGATGCCAAGCCGGTCGCTAGTGCCCTTTTCTCTGTTAGGTTCGTAGCAACTCTCCTTTGTAGGAGCAACATCGGGCTGGATGCAAAGCCGGTCACGAGTGCCCTGTGTTCTTGCTACACGGTAGGTAGGTTCAAGGCAACCGACACCTAGTAGGAGCAACATTGGACCTCATTCGCTGCATCAGTGGCTCAACCTTTCCATGGTTTAAGGATGAAGAATGAGGAGTCGGCTGAGGAGTTGACGGCTTGACAAATTGGAACCGGATGCTGACACCTCTAACTCTAAAGCCGTCTTCTGCAGTGAGCCATGATTGGTTCACCGCTGACGGCCACTGTAGAGTTGACGTGCGTTCGCATTTGATTCCTCGGCCTTCTTCTCATTTTCGCGCCTCGTCTGCCATCCTTTGAGCTGTTGCCAACTCCTTGAAAAGGTCAGAAATCTCATGTGAAAGATTGCACCGGACAAGCTGTCAGCCGCGGTCGCTGCATCCCAAGATGCCTGGGATGCCTATTCGCCACAGTTGCTGAAGCACGTTGCTGGCCCTGGAAAAGCCGTTTAGGATCCGCGCCAGTTTTGCTGCAGCAGACGAGTTGTGAGAGTTTCCGAAACTGCTACGAGTGGGTATCGGGAATAGAAATTTGCGATGCTAGGCTTGGAGGTGGCATCCTTCCCCAATGCAAACACCCCACACCGAAACTCAGTGACTCTGCATTCGCCAAATTGCTTAATAGCGCGCCTAAGGCCCTGACCGTCTGCTTGGAGACGAGACAGAACATACGCGGCGTGTACGGCCACTTGTGCTCCTCGTCTCTCTGGACCGGGTTTGGGTCTAAACTGGCAGTGTTCACAGGTTTCGGGCACAAGAGTTTCGAGTGTTCAGGGTGTTTAGTCTGCAAGTGTGCGTCAGTATATTGCCGTAGGGTCTAGAAGGTCACTTGGGAATTGGAGTTTTGCTAATAACAATGTTCTCAACAACCCAGTCGCAGGGGGGATTCGTCATCGGCCCAGTCAATCTTGGACATGCCAATCAAGATCATCTTATCTAAGAAAGCACAAGGCCCGGGAAGGACAGGGCTGTGCCAAGACTCCTCATTCCTTGCTTAGCTCGTGGTCCTTTTTTCAAGGAACGTTCTGGCACTAGGCACCGAGTGTTGCTTAAGTTGGTCGTCTGGAAGTGTCGGGCTTAGGGCTGTAGGGTTTCAGGCTTAGGAGCTCGGTGTGTGGCTCCCTGCCGCCCTGCCTAGAGAATGACCAACGAAGACGACGCGGATGGACGTGCTGCCCCTGTGCCTTGCCTGCAGGTGCGAGAGGGCAACACCGGACCGAGAGTTCCAAGCGCGCTTAAGCGGAGCGCCGAGCAAAATTCTAAAATTCCAGCGGGTGAGTTTGAACTTCGATTGTGAGGTGCCTTCGTCCCCAGCCTGATCGTTGATTGGCACTTGTCTTCAGTCTTAAGCCACTTCACCAGAAAGCTTCTGACTAACACATGCATGGTTCTGGCAATGTTTTGTCTGGATGGCCCCGGGAGAAGACATGTCAAACATGGTGCTCTGCCCACCGCCCAAGTTCGATGAAAGAAGCTATCTGTTGACTCCTAAACACCGAACGACATTGAGGACGACGACCAGCCAGACGTAGCGGCAGCAGCAGTTGCTCTAGTCATCTCTAGCCTGAAGCTGCTACAAAACACAACTATTGCCGTTACGCAGTCTAGGCTTCGTACATCCAAGAATGACTATTTGCAATCTCGGTCCAAGCGGGCCAAGAGCCTTCTTCAGTGCGTAGTGCAGCACACGACAGATGGAGTTGAGGGCGTACTCAAGTCCCGGCCGCCTGCCAGCATAAGCCGCCGAAGGCTTACCCAAATTCGTGCGTTTAGGGATTTTGGAACTTGACTTTAGGCTGTTCCTGTTGTCCCCCTGTAGAGGAGAAGGGACCAGAGCAGGATGCTGGTGTCCCGATGCCAAATGCCTGCTCAGCTTTTGCGCAGCATGCCCCGATTGACCGACTGCATTATTGCCCTTGAGCTCATGGTCGTACAAAGACCCCGAACAAGCTGGATTGCGCAGAAACGCTCCGTAAACCCTGAACCCACCTGGCCACTGCCAACTTGTGACACCCTAACCTCAAGCTCAAGCTCAACCTCTTCCTCTTTGTCCTTCTCCCCCTCTCATCAGCTCTCGTTACCTCCCTTCTCACCTGCTCCAAACGCTTACTCTGCAGCGTATGTCATTTAAACCATCTACTTCCCTCAAGCCAACCTCAGTCCAAACAAAGCCCGATTCATCCCCCTCAAAACCCTGACTGGGAAAGCACACGAGAACACCTTCACTTGACCTGGGACTCCTTCTTCAAGGGGTTGTCACAGTGGGAGCAAGGGCAGATAACGTCGTCATATTCGCAGCAGCACCCTGTGTTCCAACCATTGCTGCGTGGCGCAAACAGGCAGGAGGGACATGAACTGCCAGGAGATGCGATACACATCGATGGCATCGGAAGTGTCCAGGAGCCTCCGCTGGTTTCAAGGATGTGGAATACTTCAACCCCGAAGCGCTGGGGGAAGTGAAACTTAGCGAGAGACCTCTGTGAATCAATAATGTTTTCACTTTTCAATTTGTGTCGACCTGCCTCTTGACTGGTGACTTTCGAGAAAGGATGTCGCTAGATGAATACTTCGGGATTTAGGCAATGCAGCTCCCCTCGGGCCCAAACCCTTTAACCATCGGCTCTTCTGATGGCGCCAACAAGCTGCACCTACACTGAATAGAAACGCACGCAGCACAATTTCTTCGGTTCACAGCATGGTTAGAAGTCTGCAATGACGGGTTTAAGGGTGTAGGACTTGAGGGTTTTGAGCAACATGCGGGAGATTGCACCTCAATGACCCCCCATTGCTGAAGCTGTCATGGCAGAACTGATGGACCCCGAGTGTTCAAGTTCCAATGATGTTTAGGGCTTTCACGGAGGGCTTCGTTAGCAAAAAATCGCATAGCTTTTGTTTGTCTCCATCACTGTAGCCAACAACCCAAGACTAGACTAGGAGAAATGCATTCTGGAGCCAAGCTGAAATCCCGAACCTTCAACTACCTTCAAAGTCCAAACTGTCGCTCTATGGCTCTATGCATCTCCCCATCTCCTGAAGCTCTTGTGCACTCCGAAATCAGCCGGGCGCCTTTCGGCTAGCATGGCGTACAAACAGCTCGAATCGAAGTTGGATCCTGGCTGCCGGCACCTCGGGCACTCTTAGAGCGCTTTTCCAAGGGCTGTGGCTCTGCGATCCTCGTTTTACCGCCGCGTGGACAGTTTTTCACTTGAGCTGAGACTTTACAAGGCTTCAATAAGAGCTACATCGCAAGGACCCGGCAGTCTATCACGTCTATCGGCAGCATATGCCATCTTGAGGGTCGAAAACATAGGCAACACTAGATTAGTTATCGTCGCCACTTCCTTGTGCACTTTAGGGTTTACTTTAGGGTTTAGCTTGTTAGGGCCATGGCGGCCACGTCCTAACAAGCTAAACCCCACAGCGCTTAATCCACAAATCCAAAGGTCCCAACTCAGCCAAGGCCTTAATCCCAACAACGCCTACTCTGCCCTAAGGATCCTTTAGCTGCCACTGAAGCCCCCAAAGCTGGAACGAAGAAGTTTGCCTGCCTGTCATGTTCTTTCGGGTTACCTGCACAGCACCCTTCTTTTAACCCAAGCCCTAAACCGCCCGAAGCCCCAGTCCCGGAAGCTTCTGCTGTGTATTGAAGCTTGTGTTTTGTATTGCATCCTTGCTTAGGTTTGGATCTGGGGCCGCGGGCGGGCCAACGCCGCCGTGGACACCGGGGAGAAGGAAGGCAATCGTGGAAGGGCCTCGATTCTTGGTGGGATGTGCGGCATGCTGTTAGGACGGGATCCGGGAGCCGGGGTTGCGGTACAGCCTAGAGTTCAGGACCTAAATTCAGCTAGAGGGGTCCTTGCCTATATTTGGCTATTGGCACCACCCGCCCCAAAACATAAAATGCAACCTTAGGAAAGAATTAGATTTCTGACGCATCAAACATACCATCATACCAACATGTTCCCACAGCCCGTGCACAACCCTCCTCGTCAAAAGTAACCGAGTCTGGAGTAACAACACAATCATTTACAGAACCGATATAGTATGATAGTAATATATATATACACATATATATATATGTGTATATATATATATAAGGATATGAGTAAGTATCAAAACGGTAAAGTATATAACATCTTTGAGGTGGGTTATAACAAGGGGTATATAGGAAGCACTACTGAAAGCTTAAGTCAGCGTTTAAGAAGGCATAAGCACCATCATTAAAGAATGCAAAAATTGGAAACGACGGCGTATGCATGCTTTTGATTTATTTGATGAATTATGGTGTGAGAATACATCGAGACATTTTCAACAAACCCGAGCGAAGAATTAAGAAAACGAGAGGATCAACACATGCGACATGAAGATTGTGTTACTAAGGCAATAGTAGGGAGATCAAAACAAGAATGGGCTGAAGACAGCTACAAAGAGAACAGGGATGCTCTTCTTAAAAAAGCTTATAAGTATCGCCAAGAACATAAAGAACATAATATGTTACGAAAGTGCAAAAATTGAAGAGAGAGAAGCGCGAGGAAAGTAATGCAGAAAGTGAGAAACAATATCGGGAAACGAATTGGGAACTCATCAAACAAAGACAATATGCGAAACCAAACTGCGCGTGTGGAGGAAGATGTACTCAAAGCAAGACATGAGAACGAAGCAACATCAACAATATGAAGACAGCCTGAATGGACAGTCAGTAAACAAAACCGAGTTTATATCGACAGTTGTATAGTGACCCTGCCCCGATGCTCGTCAGATACTCACGAACATTCGTGGCATCTAGAAGCAATCAGTTGCCAATACTCCCGTATGAAGAACCGATTCACAAGCACACCATAAGGGTGTGGAAATGATATCACTCGAAATAAGTTTCATTGAATAAGGAAACATCTTGTTTGATATATATATATATATATAGCAAGATCCCCGTGTAGTTATTTGGCGGAGGTGCTTTTTTTTCCTAACGTTGGCCCTGGCTGGTTGGCCTTGCTAACGTTGGCCCTGCCTTAATGTTTGCCAATAAAAGCAAACAAGATATTAGTTGTGTGTTGTGTGTGCGTGTGTGCGTGTGTGCGTGTGTGCGTGTGTGCGTGTGTGCGTGTGTGTGTGTGTGTGTGTGGTGTGTGGTATATATATATATATATGTGTGTAGCCCCTTTTTGCACAAGATGCTCAGGCGATGGGCGGTAGGAAGAATTGAATAGTGTGCGCGGGGGGGCGCAAAGGATGGTGGCAGGGACTGGTTCGCAATGCGTCTTCTTATTAGCAGTTACAACCCTTTGTCTGCCAGTACGAGCATTCGAAGAACTGCTATTCTGCGCGAATTGGGTCGGTCGCATGTTATTTGCCTGCAGGGAACTGCCAAACGGCATTCCGGGGAGCATTGTACAGTTGAACAACATGCAAAACATATATGGTATGATTGGGGAGCAGCGACAGGAGTGCAACACAAAGCTGAAGGTGTCAGCATCATTCTGGCTACAAGAGTTTTCAAGCAGCATAATGTTTCACGTGTTTACGTTCCTCCGACTGATTATCTTGGACGGTTTGGGGCTTTGCGTGTGCAGAGAGGGGACATGGACATCTGTATTATTTGCCTCTACATGTTTACAGAACCACAAAAGTCAACTCAGCAGCGGCGCAACACGCGGCTTTGGCAGTATGTTGAGTCCTTTGTGCAGAAGCTGCCGGCGAGATGCACGCCATTGTTATGTTTGGATGGTAATGCGCATGTTGGACTTGTTAGGGGGCCACAAGGACAAGGTGAACTTGTTTTTGCGGAGAAAGATGGCATTGGAAACTTCAGGCCCGAGCTGCAAAATTTCAACGGGGGCTGTTTTGCTTCCTTGCTTGGGTCGCAATACTTGGCGGCAGTCAATACATATTTCAATACGGGAGCAACGTATTTCGGACCACCTCCGAGACGAAGCAGTACTAGGATCGATTTCATATGCGTTCCAAAGACAGCGCTTGCGCGAGTGGCCAAGTGTCACATTCAGTATTCTGCTGGTGACCGTTTGCAGCTTCTTTGTGATTTGGCAAGAAGAGATCACTTTCCCTTGCAAATTGAGATTGACGTTGCACTTCGGTACCAGGGAGAAGCTGTTGAGAAGCGTTCGGAGTGGGACACATCTCGGATGGTACATGATGCTTTGCATGGAACAAAGCGTGAAGCGTTGTTTTGCGCTGTGGATCGTGAACTCAGCAATGTTCTTCCTCTGTTACAAACTTCTTTGCCGAATCCAGATGTTCTATGGGAAGCTTTTTCTGGTTCTGTCCGCACTGCTGCTATGGATGTGTATCGCACGCCCCAAAAAAGGCTCAGAGAAAGACCTGCGGACACAAACAAGGCACTTGAGGACATGCTTGAGGCCAAGTCGGCAATGGTCAATCACAGGCCCCATGTGTTGGGCAGGACGCGTGGAAGGTGGGATGGTGTTGAAACTGTATGTTTGCGGCAAGCGCTGTCGGACATGTTCCACGGTTGGTGTAAGCTGTCTGTTTTTTCCCGCAAGCGCAAGCAGCTGGACAAACTCACAAAACGAGATGCCTTGTGTCAGAAGGAGGCACTGCTACTGGAGTTCCGGTATGCTTGGTCAAGGCGGGACATGCATCAAGTCTGGCGGCTTTCAAGGGTGCTTTCAGGCAGAAAACTTGGGCCAAAAAGGCGTCGTTACGATGCTCCTCGTGCTGTTCGTCCTGGCATTGACGAGTGGGTTCAGTATCTACGGCAGACAGGTCCTAACGGCGGATGTTCTGCCAAGGTTGTTTGCTGGGAGGCTGTGCAAAAAGAGGCGCTGTCAAACAACTCTTCTACATCATCTGTTGTGGATGCAATCCCTTTGGCGCGCCAAGATTTTAGCGACATTCTGCATCAAGTCAGGCGTAGCAAACTACGTAGAGCGGTTACACCTTGGGATATTCCTACTGAAGTTTGGAGACAGCTTCTCTTGCCATCGTGGCAATGGAACAAGGACAAGCATGGCGTGGGGTACACAGTTGGCAACCCTTTTTCTCTTCACTTTCAGTTCGTGTTGTTTCGCTTGCTGCTGTCTATACGAGTGCACGGTCGCGCGCCTACAATTTGGCAGCGAAGCATGGCCACTGAGCTGGACAAGAAGAACAGCAAATCTGGGCCTGCTGGCATTCGCCTCTTGATTTTGACGCATGCAAGGTGTCAATATCGTTTGAAATGTTTTCGGTGCAAGCAAGTCAAAGATATCAATTGTTTCAAAGAAACATGCTGTGTCAGTAAACACTCTGTGTTAGGTGCACCTCGACTTGTTCTGAATGCTGAGATACAAAAAGACAGTTTAAAGGGAGAGCGTTATGAATGTTAGTAAGATGGAGACAATCGAAGGGACAACACGCCACAGTTTAAAACCTGCTGAAGAGTTCGGCTTTAATTGACTGGGGCGCCAAGAGGACAAGGAAAGCATACAAGAAAACGAAAGTAATAGATAAAAAACCTGCAATAGAAGGAGTGTTTGATCACGCTAGACATTTGTTGATGAATGATCTGTTTCTGGTGAACTACTGTACGTTATTTGGTAAGCACAAGGACACAGTAGTGAGTGGGATGCCTGTTGATGACACACAGCGGGACAAACAAGCAAGTTCGACTAAAACAATAATGCTATCATGTACTTATACTACAGAAGCGGTTATATACTATAATTACATTGGAGATACAACCCCTAACCCCAAACCCTAATCCAAATTCTGCAAGACCCTCTTGCCTTTCTTAGGCTATGGCACCTAGGTAGATACGAGTAGTGGGAAAATTCAAAGATTGTATTCTATCTGTTTGGGGTGGGTGGTGCCAATAGCCGACAATAGGCAAGGACACCCCCCAACTAGTTCTATGTGTGTGTGATGGTGATAGTGACGTGCGAGTCTTAGGGTGCAGGGCTGCGCCCTAGGGCTAAACCCGAAACTTCTACAAGTCTGCAGCAGAGTTGCCTTTTGGAGATTTGCACAAGTGGGATATCACCTGAGCAGAAACACTGTTGCTCAAGCTTTCAAGAGTTTCAAGGTTAGGGACTCCTACTTCAGAACTTCCACAGCTTTGAGCTTTGGGAATCCTACTGATCCAACCTAAACAGCCTGAACCCTCAACTGACACTCGGAAGCGATTTGGTGTCAGGCGTTGATGTGTTGATCGTCGTCAAACTCCAGCTTAAACTCTGCTGGAAATGGATACCTAGGTGGCCCCGGTTTGTCAACTAGCAACTCAGAGAGCTTGGTAGGTGGTCTTGGGTGTAGTGAAGGTCTGGGGCGTCGAGCTCAATGACTCCAAAAGCGAAAGCTGACTTTCCAGGGAAGCCATGGCTGTCTTCCTCCCGCAACGTGCAGCGGTCCATCAATGCAGAACTGACGAAAAGAACTGCATTGCGTGGTACGACCCCCCCCCCCTTCTTTGGTTCTTGTCCACTACTTCTTGGTTCTTGTCCACTACTTCTTTGAACTTGGGTTGTGGATATGCTTGCCCATTGCCTATGCGATTAGAATTGGGCGCTTCGGGTTCGGATTCTCGCAACTCAGTTCAATGGTGGACACCTGTTGTCCCGAATCCGCCAAGAACTCTCAAACACAAAAAAGTTCAAGATTCTGGCCGCCCTAGGCCGTAGGTGCTTAACTTTTTGAAGCAGAAGTCAATTAAACAGCACATTCTCCCGGAAACGTTGAGACTCTAAAGCCTCTGCAAAACCGAAACTCCAATCCCCCGCAGCCTTACGAAACTAGTCCGGGCTCAGAGCGAGCGTTCAAGGGAATTTTTGATCCTCAACTCCACACTGACTGTCTTCCAAGAGGCGCAGGGATCTGGTGCCAGTCCTGGCAGAGTGGGCACTGATGGGAGCAGTTGCTGGGGCTTCGGTGGTCGGGTGTCTACATTGGGGTTTACGGGTTTTGGGTTGAGGGTGCTTGTCTCAAAACCTCCGACAACCCGAAACCCGTGCCTTACGGCAAGAGCGTGGCTTCAAGAAGTTGCGGTGGAGCAGGGAGGTGCAGCAAGGATGACAAGCACGAAACTTCTCTTCTCTCCGGAACTCAACTTTTACAAGGTGTAGGATTCGGGGCTTAATCTGGGTGCAAAAAATTCTGGGCTTAGGTTTAGGATCCTTGCCCTGCCGGTGTGATGCAACTCTGAAGCCGCGACTTGCGACCCTACTGCCCAAGCTCCAGCTTCAGGCTTAGATGCTGTACTTGTCGTTTGTCACACCACCAGGTGGTCCGGCAGTGAGAAGAGATATGTGTCCAGTCCCGTGGGCACACGAATCCACGGATGAACTGAGAAACTCGATGAACATCTTGAATGCTTCCTCTCGTGAAATGCTGTGAAATGCGCTGAGGGCCAGGAGCCCGTGAGCAGTCCAATGCGACATGTTCCGGTTAATTATGGTTAATTGCACTCATTGCACCAAGACCCGATTGAATAGAGTTGGTGCATATAATGTGCATATAATTAAAGCAGAATGACCACGAGCCAGCTTCTCGACGTCACGGCTAGAACAAGATCGAGCAATGTCGAACAGGTGCGCGTGACGAGTGCGGAGCTCTGTCATGAGTCTTTTCTGAATGCTGCAATCACCGCCAGAATGATTGTTGCCTCCTGGAGTTCAGGGTTCTCATTGACACCGCAAACACCTCAATGTATTCTAAGCAGGGCCGAGAGCATGGTTGTCGCGACATTGGCTACTGTATTCAAACGGAAGCATTGGGTAGAGTTAGAGCCTGTTTCGGCAAAGAAGCGCCGCAAAGAGCTGTCTGCGTGCAAGAAGCGCAACAAGCCGGAAAAATCTGGTTCGGCACGACAGGCCGAAAAGCTTCATTCTGGAGCCATCTGATCGTGCCTCGGAGATGCTGTCGTTTCCTCGCACGGCGCTTGCGCCCGTCGCAACGCACGCGCACAGATTTGCTTCGGAGAACTGATGCTGGAAAACGGTCTCGATATTTGATATCAAAGTTCATGTTTTGCCGGAGATTGCTTAGTTCACGTCCCCTCCGATAAATGCACGTCTTGCTGCACCTGACATCTTAGCACGGTGCAGGTGCAAGAGCGTCTGTGGCGAGCGACTGACATGTTGACACCGACGGAGCATGAGTAGCACATTCAAACGAAAGGAGTGTGCGTATAGCAAGCAGCCCCATGCACGCATGTGACGCAGGATCTGAGTGCATCAACGGCTTTTGGGGTGGCCGCTCTGCGAAGAGGGTTTAGGATGGTTGAATAGTACTTTTACAGCTGCAATTAGCTTTTTTCGTGGGACAACGGCTTCGTGCAACTTGCCAAAGGGCTTGATAGCTCATCGGCAGCACGCAACTGCAGCAAAAAGGAGAGGCAGTTTGATGCATAGAAACTGGGTTTTGCCAACTTCCGGCCCTTCAGGTCACCGCTCATCGAACCAGACATCCAGAGTTTCTATATGAATCCATGTTTGATGTCACAACGAAAAGGCCTGAGGCATTAAGGCTCCGAATCGAGGAAGGGAAAGATGTCGCTGATGCTTTGCATCATTGTACGAGTATAAAAGCTTCATGCGTAGAACCCCAACGCCCGAAGCCTAAGCCCAAAACCGCCCTCTCCTCCGGAGCGTCAGGTTTAAGCTGCTTCGGTGGGCTAGGCTCTGTCGCGCACCCTGCGCCTCAAGACATGGGACCTATCTCCTATCAGCCCTGCACCTCAAAACCCCGAACACAGAGAGGCGAGGAGTTGGGGGCGTGGGTCGTATGATTCACGTCAGCTAGCTGCAAAACCCGAACGACATCCCAAAACCCTGACTAGAATCTGAGGACACTTGACCCGATCAAGCCCAGTGCACCAGATCTCAGGGTTGACAGTTGATGCCTTTGTTTTGAGGCTTTGGCAGTTGAGATCGGGCAGGGGCAAGGCTCAACTGCCTCATGACCTGATGACAACCCTTGAGCAGCTTCAGCCCGAAACATCTAAACGTGCAACGAAATATGGTGTTGGGTCTAGGCTTTGGGGTGATGATAGTGTTCAAGCGCGATTCGTAACCCAAAACTTCATATCCCCCGAGTCTGATTCTACTCCCGGATGCCACGACAAGGCAACGGCCCTGTGGACTGGTTGACTTCTCCTGCGAAGGCTTTGAAGGATGTGCACGGACAATCCAACGTGCAGGGTAGCAGGGGGTAGGCAAATTCAGCCGTGCGCGCATGTGCACACATTGTAGCTGCCAATGGCTGGGTTTGGGACCTGTTTGGTTTGACTTGAGCTCAAACGTGGAGCCCTGAAGCCCCTAACTCCTGAACCAAACCTCAACAGTGCCCAGATCTCGGTCCTGGCGGTCCTGGGCCAGGCTGCAGGGGTGGGAGCTCTCCGACCCGCACCTGGTGGATTCCTGCCACGCAGAGGTTTCCAGCCCTCCAAAGCCCCAGTGGCCCGGGACTTTGCTCTTGGCGTTGGGGGTCCCAGGAGTTCGGAGCTCGGTCCTACGATGCAGGCTTACAAACACTCTTTTTGTCTGGGTCTGTTTGTCTGTTTGGGCTGGGATATCCTGCTTCAGCATTGAACCTCAAGCACACCCTCTGCAGGCTCAAAAGTGACAAATGAGAAGCTTCCCAGGTCTCCGCGTGTATTCAATACTTTGCTTAGAGCTTGGAATCTGCGGGGGCCGGCAGACCTTTAGCCCCACTGCCCCAAACAGCGCAACCAATCCACAGCTGTGCTACAATGCTTCAAGACATGGCGAGTTGGGATGAGAACTGGGATTCTTGCGTTCAGGCTGCGGTATCTGCATGATCCGACTCTACGTCCCCAGGACCTCGGCACAAAAATGTAAAGTGCCAGTGAGCGGTCCTCGGTCAAACAGGAAGCTTCGGAAGCCTCCGGCGTGCTCCGAGGTTGAGGGGGGAGGTGCATCTTAAATCGATACATCTGCCGGCAACCGGCAAGACAAGGTAAGGCCGCGTACGGGACAGGGCAAGACAGGGTAACTTTTAACATACTAGTTACTAGCTCCCAGGGTTTGACTGCCCTTCAAACACGGAACAGTTGCCAACAAAAACGCATCCAAGCCTGCGAAGCCCTATGACCGCTAGTCCGAAGCGACCCCGGCTGCTGTCAGGCTTTCGGCCTTTGTCTGTGAGGATGTCGCAGATGAGCTGCGATTCAGGGGCGACAGCGACCTTTGCACTGAAAGAAAAACCTTAAACATATTGGATATGGGTCTTAGGATGTCTTCTGGTTTTGGGGAGGCAGCAGCCCTCTACGTTTTCTTGGAAAAGTCAAAGCGTTCATCTACGTCTACTTGGAGGTCACCTGCACAAGGGATGAAAGGTCTTCCAAGATTTGATGAACTTCATGCTCAGACAGGGCATGAGTGATGGATAGATAGGCGCAACTCAGGCTCAGAATGTGGCTTTAATCATGCATTGGCATGCCTTGGCTTGCATGTGGCTTGCGGCGTAGCTTGGTTTGGGTATTGCCCACGACCAACAAATGTCCACAGGATGTGAAATGGTACTTCGAACTTTTTGAAATCATCAGTACATGACTACATTGTAACCCCAAGGGCTCAGGGTCCTAGGGTTTAGGGTTTGGCGGGGCAGGTGAAAACTCCGGAAGCAAACAACCTCGAAGCCCCTTGCGCTCTAAAAGCTGGGCTTGCAGCCGAGCGGCCGAGCCCTGCTCGTAACCTCAAGAAGCGTCCTTGAGTCGGTCCTTGAGTGTTCTTGCATCGCCGTCATCAGGCCCACGCCCTGCCGCTCACGCAACCAGTTGTTTGAGGCTTGGTGTTCGCAGCCAACTTCGTCTGGAACCTTTAGGTGAGCCCAAAGCTGCAAGAATCAACAAATCTTGCGCGCTGATGCGTGCTGGAACCCTGAATCAATGTTTAGGGCAGGGCCGTCCTGGACTTGCAACCCCAAACCCGAAAACTTCAGGGTCTGCAGTGCTCAGGCTGCTCATCACCTCGATGCTGTAATCGTCTAAGCGGTATTTTCTGCACACTTAAACCAAACCATACTCGCATGGACTGCCAGATGCTTTCAAAAGTTAAGAGTTGTTCTGGTGCGTGACCTCGAGTTCCGCTTTCATGATTTGGGAAGCTCGCGTGTTAGGGCCACGGGCCCCAAGATCTAAACGCTCAAGCTTGGAACTGCGCACTCCAATCCTTTGCAGACACTAAAAACTCTCATTGCAAGAGGAAGAAAGAGTCAGGGTGCTTGCCTGCCGCTTGCCGAAAAGGACAGGGGAAAGGCACGAGCAGAGTGTAAAGTGCAATGACACAGCAACCTTTTGGGTTTGCAACTGCTGTTTGCTGCCATTTGCTGAGATCTTCGACCCACTGCCGTGCCAGTTGAACCGACAAAAGAGGAAGCGGGCCAGGTGCAGATAGCCTTCGTGGGGGGGAGGGAGGAGAGTGGGAGAGCGGGGAGTCTCAAGCTTGGCGGCTATTTGCCATACTTCGAGTGCCACGTTGACCTGTCCGCACCAGGACGCTTCTTGTAGCTCAAAATGAAACGTTTACCTCCGCAGCCACAGCAGCAAACTATAGCACACTCATTGCAAACAGCGGCTTTTCCCAACCTTGCACCGAGCCGGGCGAAAAGGTCTGCAAAAGCAGAGAAAACCGAGGGTCCTGCCACGGATGTCCATGGACTGCACCGCAAGCTCCCAAAGAGTCTCACGTCAGATGATGGACTCGTTGGGGCTGGAGCTCTGGCTTGGGAGCCTTAAGAGCTTGGTGCTCCATCTGTTTACAGAACGTGGAGTCTCTTCCGGCTGACTTGCGAGAATGAGATTAAAGCTTGCCAGTTGCGCAACTCGGCAAGCTCACCAGCAAACGGTGGCATGGCTCGGCTCAAGAGGGTTTGAGGGCTCGCCGGGATGGGGATGCTCGGTGTCAAGCTGATGGTTTCATGTTCACGGGCGTAGAGTCGTAGAGATACTGTTGAATCCTGTTCGGGCGCCCAAGTTCGCACCATGGCAGTAGTGGAACTTGATCGTGTCATTCTCCTCACCCTCTCCACACCGTGAATAACAAAGAAACAAGAATCACGCGGAACTCCGCAGGGGATTTCCCGGGAGACTTTCTGCAGTGATAGCGGTATTGTTAAGATACTTAGGTTGCCCTTCCTCTTCAGTTCGACTTCGTTTGAGTAGAAAATGTCCGCCCAACCCTTGACCTAAAGCCGCGTGCCCAAGACCCCAATCTCCAAATCCTACACATGCCCAGCAGTTTGCTACTCCTTCATCTATCCAAAACCCTTGTAAGGCATACAGGAGCTCGCACTAGCCCCAAGATGCCGCAAAACTCATGCCGATCTGGAACACGGTCTTCTGGATATGCAACTTCCGGCCAAAACTTACTCTGTGCTGCAGCAGCAAGGAAGTCACGCAACCTAGCACTCTTGCGGAGAATATGGGCAACATCAGCGTTTCTGTAGGCTGACAGTATAATTTATAATTCAGCTAGAAAGAACATTGATTGGCACTCAATACGTAAATTGCAAGTATTGAGAAGGACAACCTATGCTCTCCAACCCGGGACACAGTGGCCCCAGGCGCAGGCAAGCGCCACATCATCCACATCCTTTCGCTAGCAAAGCTTCCCGTACGCCTAGTCGATCGTAGAACTACCTTCACACCACACAAGATACAAGTAGTCATGGGTTCGTGCCAGAATTGTCTGCGACAGCGAGGATAGCTGCCGCAGGGGCGGAAGGACGTGTGAAGGCCCGAACCAGGTCCTGGCCGTGCCTGGAACTATGCACCCCGCATTGCACCGCTATGTCACGGCCTCTCGCTCAGAAACCGGCATCGGATTTTCCGAAGCCAACTTCTTCCAGCGAGGATGGGCGATCTTCTGCCCTGGACAAACCTGCTTGGAGAAGGAAACTTCACTAACGATATAAGGCTGGCTCCTCTTACTTCTGTTGAGTCAGAATACACCTTGAAAGCGTTTTGTTTCATGAGAGTGGTACGGAGCAGAAGCAGTCTCCAGATTCCTCTCTAAACCGTGCAACCGTTTTCCTTGTAGCTGCATGGACGATCCGCAAGTGATCACTCCCCCCACCCCCCAACCCCCTCTCATTGCCCAAATTAGCATACCTTCCACGGCGGCGAGAAGCGCGCATACCCAACAACAGCAAATTTATTTCTATGACACAAAGCAACACAACCCTTAACACTTTCACCACTACCAGGTCTCGTCAAGGTCGTACCACTCCCAGCGCCTCCGCGATGTCGCGGACACAGTGCGTGGGCCGCCTGCCAAATAGAAAGGCAGAGGTGTAAACTCACAAGCTCGGGATTTGGAAGCATCGTCCGGGATCGAAACGTAAGAACAAGTCAAAGTGATCGGCGAGCCCCTGCCGATCCTTTTTTGGTCAAGCCGGCACTAAGTTATTCAGCACACCACAACACCCCATGAGTCCAAACAGCACTGCGGCGTGACCGTCGGTCACCCTTAAGTGTCATGCCAGCTCTGGGAGTGTAAACACACGACCGTGCCGATTACTGTGCAAGCTGTGCCAAGTTCGTCCCTTTTCTGACAATCTGGGCGTAGGATTTACTTGCTCAACCTCAAATTTCGGAGTTGGGGTACCAGACACAACTAGAGTCATTAGAGTCATTGGGATGTAGTGGCTGGGGATTTGGGCCCCAACACCTCAAACCGAGTCATGAGCTTCGTTAGGCCACGATCGGTCCAACGAGCCCTGAGACGTGCCTGAGCGGAATATTTCAGGTGCGTACTCTCTTACTATAATGGCATCAGGGAAGATGTTATGATATGCTCGGTGACCGCAAATGAAATAACAACCCCCTGAAGATCGAAAAAACTAAATTTAAACCAATGTTCCGCCCAATCCCCGCAAACCATCGCATCGATGCCTGCAAGATTGGCCGCAGCTGGCTGGAAGACCTTCGAGCCATTCCCATGTTGCATTTGTGCAAGCAGGTTGGCAAGCCTCGACGATTCCTCACCCCAAACACCCGCCTGGAAGCCTCCCACACAAGCCAGGAGAACTGTCTTGGTGTTTACTGCCCCTGTGGTCTCACATTAGCTGCTGGTAATGGCCATGACTTAGAAGCACGCACGCTTCTCATGCAGAGTGCTTGCGGCGTCCGTTGCTGTGCCAGATTATGCACTGCTGAACCGACTCCGCTGCACGCTGCACGCGCTGATATCGTGAAGATCAAGGCTGTTGGATCTCCCGGTGCTCTGGCGTCAACAGCCTTAACATCTGAGTTCAAACCCAATCGTGCTGCAAACAAAAGGCGTACGAACAACTCTTTGCTGCAACTATCTTATAAGCTTCACTCATCTTTCCAGCCAAACCAAGCTCCGTCCGACTCGCAGCACAAGCCAACCCTTGCAAAAGCTTAGTGTCACCCCTTTCAGAGATATTGAAAAACACGAACCAGGCTTTCGCTTCGAACTCTGCAGGATCTGGCAGTCAGCCCCCAAATAAGCCCAATTCAGCCCAAGGCTTCAGGGCGGTGAAAACGCCTAGGCAGTTCGGCTTGATTTTTAACACGTGTAAGAAGTGGCTGCACACTCGGACTAGGCCTCTCACCCTGTCCCCTGTCCCCGCATATCTGCTGATCCCAAATTTCGGCTGGCCTTCTCGCTGCGTAGAGCGGTCGAAAGCCCGTCGGCGGTCCTCGGCAGCACGTGCCTTTTTGGTAGGGAGGGTCTACGTTGGCCTTTAGGGCAGGTGTTCGGGAGAACTACATCTCAGAGCGCTAACCAGGCGGATTTGGTGCCAGAGGAACTTGAGCTGCAGGCATCGGGCCTTTGATCTCCCCAAGACCTTACGACGGCTACCCCGAGCCAGGCATCTGTGAGAGGTCGCCATGAGTCACCTGGAAAATCCTCGGCAGCCGCATGGCATTTTTGTGGGGAACTCCAAGCCGCACAACATCCTACACCAATGATTTAACTGCTTCTTTTATTGCCTAGAGTCCGTACTTTCTAGCGTGAGGATGGCGATCTGATTCCTAAATTCTACTCTCTGAACCCTAACGCCAAGACCCGACAGCAAACCCGCCAATCCGGTAACCCACGTTACGCCCCGCCAAAGTTTAGCATGTACTGTTTCAATTTCGGCTACACGCTGAAACCCAATTTGCTTGCTCTGCCTAGCGCTTCAGTACGAAAGCCAGCCAAGCCACCTCTTCGCCACGTCATAGAGGAGAAACTGCCTCTGGCCATTAGACTTCGGGTGCTGGTGTTGCGTCCGGCTTTTGATACCCAGGATGGTGTGCGTTTGGGTCCCTTTAAGCATCTTATTCTGGGACTCTCAGTCGTCCCGACACCTTAACCCCACAAGCAACTCGGTTTCGTTTGAGTCTACATTGTGAGCCCGAAGATCCCACAGCCCGGTTTATCCGGCTCAACCTAGACCTCGGTTGTGCCCACTCCGTCTCAGAGCCCTCCATTGCGTATGCATGTGGGCCCTAAGCATATCAGAGACTCGAGGAACTAACCTTGAGGTGCATACTGGTAATTACCACGGAATGTGAGCTTCTTACCGGCGCCGGCAATTGCAGCATTCATCTATGTTGACGTGATTCCAGGTAACAACTGTGGAAACGAAGAACAGAACGAAAGCCTCGAACACGATTGCGGGCCCAAAGCCCCTACCTCTCGTCTCTCGTTCACTCTCGCAAGTCTCTGCATTATCCAAACTGTGTTCAACGCCCCCTATGACCTAGGCTCCCTTTCCCTGACTGCGGCCCCTCACCCCCCTATGATGGCGGCTGCCCATGCCGCCCTGGTGGAGAAGCCTCGGCAGTCCACAATGTACTGATATGTACTCTTAATTACTCTTGTGTACTTGGTTGCTTAATATGTACTTTGGACCCTGTCGCCCATGCTGGCGATGCTTGGAAGCCTGAAAAGCAGACCTCGGGTTACTTCGGGCCCTGGTCTGACATCCGCACTTTCCAGCTCAAGGTGTGTTTACAGTGCTGCGGAATGTGGCAAGGCCATTGCCTCAGAGATCCCTGACAGGTGCTTGGCTGTGCGATGCTGAAGACTCCACATGCCGACCCAGGGACCCGCGTAGAAGGCACCAAACTGTCCTGTGGGCTTCCAAGCTACTATGGCCAAGCATTTACAGGGGAAGATTTAAACTCTCAAGTAACGTCTGGGAAGCACAAAGCAGGATGTGCATTTCCTTCCTACTGTGGAATTTTCGTCCCAGTTTTCCTGTCCTGACCTCTCCCCCTACCCACAACCTCTTGTTTGGTACTTTCCTGCCCCGCCCTCTGTTCTTTCTTCTCTACTTTGTCGAACTTTCTTCCTTCGCCTCTCTTTCCCCCTTATTTGATCTTTGACCCTCCCCCTGCCCCTGCCCCCTGCCCCCGGCCTGGAAGCTCTTTTTTGGGGGGCCGTTGCTCCCCTGCCTCTACCTCGCCGGCTGTTTCCTCCCTACTCTGCCGAACTTTCTTCCCTTCGACTTGAACCAACAACCCATATAGACTGTGGTGCCGATCTTGCGCTGGCTGCTAGGCCCCGGCATCCCCAGCCGAGCAATTAGACCAGAGGTGAGGCGCGGGGGCGTCGGGGTAGCAAACATGTGTTTTTCAAACTAATTCACCTTCTCTCAAAAGTAAGCAACCCCCAAACTCCATACCCTAGTTCCCTAACCGCCTTGTAACGACTGCAAACGCCACATCGGCACCTCCCACTAAGGTTTCTGGCAAATCCCTGCAGCCCGTGGTCCGTCTCGCCACAAGGCTGCCGCTGCTCCTGCTATGCCTGCGAGTTTTGGAACTTTAGTTACGTAGAAGGTTTCTGGTGGGTTGACGGTTGCGGATGATTACGGGCTCCCGCGACACTTCCGAGACTTCTGGTTTGCACTGGTACCGCAGGAGGCCAGACTGCCAAACGAGCAGAAGCCAGGTCAAAGCATGCCGAAGCTTGGAGGCGGCTTTGGGTTCATGCCCCAGCGTCCGAACTATCGGTCGCAGGAGTCGCAGGTTGTAGGTCCGTGCCGGGGCCAATAGCATGCAAGCCTGCCTTGGTCACTGGCCTACTGCTGGGGATCTTGCTGGGCATCATGGTCTGGCCCGCCAGCACCTGCGGGCAAGATCGTCGGGAACAAGCCCGCCACGACATCGTGAAGCCAGTGGACGCACCTTTGGCGGGCGTTGGAGGCTCGAGCCCGAGCACATCCTAGCAGCTGCCTACTGCAGCTGGCGTTATACCAGCCCAGGACGAGCTGTGGGAGGGGCACTAGCGATTCTGGCAAGAAGCTCGAACAAGTTGGTCTGGCGAAGGTGGAAAGTCGACACGGGAAACAATTGACACGGTCTGGTCTCGACTCCGGACAGCCAGGTCACTCTGGGGGCGAACCACTTGAGCGTGTGCTCGCCGCTGAGTGAGCTCTGCAAGTCTGCAGGGGCAAGCTTGCTCCCGGAAGGAGGCCAGAAAGCGCTGGGCGACTCAACCAGCAATGAAAAAGCTGGGCGGGCAAACCAAGGCAAACCAAGCCCACTGCGGGAGGAGATCCATGGAGCACCCATCTGTAGCGGGAAGCACTGGCGAAGAAACTGGAGGCGATCCCGGCGATCCCCGAGAGCCAGTTCACTGCGGGTCGCCCAGCTGCAGGCCTGCGGTGCGTTCTGGCACCGTGCATCCGCAAGGCTCAGCGGGCTTATCAGCATCTGGTCCAATCCTACACATTCCCTATCTCGCTCTCCGCGCTGCCAGAGAAGTGCTGAGAGTGGCGACCTTCTGCAGCTTCGATGAGGCGGAGTCTTTCGCAAGCCAGCCGGGCCAACTTTCCCAAGAGCCGGCTCCTCCCACCCCGACCTCATGTGGCGGATGTGGCTGAGGTCACAAGCGATGCTGGAATCATACTTGCAGGATGTCGCGTGGCTGCCACCCAAGCTTCAACCAAGTAGTCTCTGCATGTCACTGGAGCAAGGCCTGCGTATGCAAGCTGCCCAGAAGAACGTTGTCCAGGTCTCCGTCTCGAAGTTCGGGGGCTCTTCGCCTCCGATCCGGGCCGAGGTGTTCATGCAGATGGCGGCCTCGGCAACCGTTTTTTCCAGCAAGCTGTTCAGCTTTCGAGGATATGGTTTCGCCAAGCAGGTCCAACACACCCGGTTCCCTACAGTAGCCAAGGTCGTTGGTGAGGGGTGGACAACATGCAAATCACACGCTGTCCGGCCAGCGCAGTGTTCGTAAAGAAACGAGTGTGTTTTCTTCATCGGGTTGTACACCGGCAGTAGTCTTCGCTTTGCGAGACTCCCTTCTTGGCGAGTAGCTGCTGACAATCTTCCTGCTGCCAGAGAAACGGCGCGACTGGGTTCTTGATTTAGTACAGGGAATCAACGCTTTCGGAGATCTCCACCCGCTCGACCACAAAGCCGCAGCACCAGCTGCCCTCCCAGACGCGCTGCACCCTGGTGGGTTTCCGAGTTGTCAGATCATCCAGCTGGGCGACGAACATCACCGACGGGCGGACAGCTCGACTCATCACGGAGGCCTCCAACAGGTGCTCACCATCTCGACGAAGTTCGTCACTCCGAAGCTGCCAGAGATTGCCATCAATGACTTGTACACAAGTCTGCAACTTCGAAGGTGTTCGGAACCCTATTTCACCCCTCCAAGAACACATGCCCTGGAGATGGCCCATATGTCGAGCCTAGCTGAGGCGTTGTCGACAGGCAGGTGAGGATGGCGTCTGCTGGCTGGCTCACGAAGGTGGAGATGATGCCTGCAACACACCCAAACCCTGCACCGCCTAATTCGACGCTAAACCCGTCTTCGCTTTATGAGAGGTGGGTTGGGCATGCAGGCCGTACGCTTAGGCAGCTTGAAATTTCAAGTTCACGACGGGCCTTGCATTTTGGGGGTTGGCAACGAGATGCGGAAGCTTTCGCTCTGTTCGCCCGCCTGCCAATGCTCCGGAGAACATGGACACAAACGATGAACTCCGCTTCCTGACCCGGCAGCTGGGAGGGTACGGTTGGAACTTCACTTGTGTGGTACGATTGCCACTTGCCTGCTACTTGACCGGGCAAAAAGTAAAAACAATCCGAAACTGAAGCTCCAAATTTCACTTGAACTTAATTGAGCTCCAAACCCTCTTGCCTACCATAGCCCAAACTCGCCCCAGGATGACCCTGAGCGTTGAGCACCACCCAACCTGTTCGCCATCCACGGAAACTGGCGATAGACCATCGCCGCCACGGTGTCAAAGACCAGGAACTTGGCCATCCCAAAGAAAACCTGAAAAGCGTCCAGGGTCGATGCTTCAAGGGTAGCATCTCTCTCTCTCACAAAGCCTTAGGTTCCTCTTGCATTGGACAGGCATCACTACGAGCATGAAGCTAACGTATTCGCAGGCAACATTTCTTTCTCATCGCCGGCCCGCACAGCAAAGTTTCACGGGCGAACAAAAAGTTCTCCCTATGTGCACACGAGCACTACGCAACAATCATCGCGGAGGACGGTTCTTTGGTTCCGTGTAGGGGATCAATCAGCAGCAAGAAAGGGCACGTGCATAAGGCCACTAAAGCCCAAATTGACAAATGCCCGCTTTGTGGAGCCCTTTCCAATCCTGAAAACTCCGCTTGAAAGAACGCCCACCTCCAGTGAACCCTACATCATCCTATGTCATCCTACGCCCCCTAACAACAGCTTCTGATTCCTGAAGCCGCTCCTTCCACCCCCCCCCCCCCCCCCCCCACCCCCCCCCCCACCCCAAATTCCTCCAACCCTCTCAACTCCTGAGACCCGGAACCCTTACACTCTCAGAGCCCGCCAGCCCTCAGAACAAATCCCCCATCGTTAAGCCCCTCCATTCAATGTCCAAATTTCAAGACGCATCCAGGGTCCGAAAGTCTCAGCTCTAGACCGAGTCCTCTCGAAAACCCCCCCGCCCCCCCCGCCCCCCCCCGGCCCGGCCTGTCGCAAGAGCAGTGGTGGGAACCCTGCGAAGAGGTGGTGAAAGGAGCTGAGAAACTCCGGGCGGAATCCTGCGCAGAAGGGCACTGGCTGCTGCAGGGTCTTTAAGGCTTCGGATGGCTTTGCGGGCCCAGAGGAGGCAGATCGAGGCTTTCCTCCACTTTTGAGAGATTGTGGGGTTTCTTTTGGGTGGCCCAGGGCTTTGGGTGGGGGCTCACCATTGCAGCGTTGAAGGATCCTTCCGTGAAGGGTCGCTGTGTTAGGATCACCAATTGCTTGGCAGCGTTTGCATCCCAAACACCCAAGGACTCAAGGTCCGAGGCCTGAATCCGGAACTTGAAGCCCCGAACACTACACCCTGAACCCAACGAACAATTTCTGCTGCGTAGACCCTTGGTCCATTTGGTGGTGAAAGCCATCCCAGATCCCCAAGACATGCTCTGAAACGCCTCGTTCAGCAACAGTTCGGATGCGAATGGCCTGGCCAGCAAACCCTCAACCAGAGCTTTAGGGGCGCACGTTGTTCAGATTTGTGAGGTTGAAAGAGCAGTCAGACCTTCACAACGTCATGCAGGGCAGGCAGGCAAATCCATAAATTGTTCTGCTTCGGCAGCATCCGAAGGGATCGCGATTGAAACGTAAGAGCCGCTGGAGTTGCCGCTGTTGCTTACTGCTGAGATCTAGGCCTTCCATTTCTTCACAGGTTATTGGCCGCCCGGGACCTCCTGCGTACTCCTGGTCGACTTGCAGTAATTCCAAGAGCACACTGGCAAAGTGCTTGAAGGCTTGACTTGAAGTCTTCCAATATGCCAGCTCTTTTTGTCTCCTCAGAGTCTCCTCGAGCCGGTGATGCCATTACAACTGGCGATAGAAGCGTTCGACTGCATAGAGGTTTCGAAGGTACAGGTGTTGGGATCTCATTAAGAGGTGGCAGCCTTGTGATGGCCAAAACAAGGACTTCGATGGGGATCTTGAACTTAGCCTCCAGCCTGCCAAACATTTCCTTGTCGGCAGCCTTTTGTGGGAGCATGCCCTGGCAGCAACCTCTGTGACCACAATTGCCCGGAGCCCGGAGCCTGTATGGCATCTGTGCGGCGTTGAAGCTCTCTCTCCATGTATGTTGCGATGCTTGTTGTCGAACTTCCGCTGAAAAACTCGTCAGCCCGCACGAGAGATGTGTGCTCCAGCAGGGTGATCGCTATTGCTTGCACTCTGCGATTGCCAGCTGCATGCACATTACGTTTGTTAAGAGGCACAAAGTCTTGCGGGCCGCTTAGGTCCAAGAGTTTAAACAGACACTTCGAACCCCCAACGCCCCCCTTCACTTCTCCCACATAATTTCGCTCACAGACGAGGCAGCAAAGTTGCCAATGCAACGTAAGACTAGAGCTGGAGTTGAGGGTTAGGGGTTGATGTTGAGGTCTTTGGGCCAAACCACCCGCCTCTGCTGGGCAAACACCTGGTGCAGGGCTTCAGGAAACCGAGTAAGTCGTGCAGGTTGTAGGGTTTCACAGCGGTTCGCTCCGAGGCTTATTTTTAGTCGTACACGTGGCTGAGCAGCTACTGTGGAACTAAGTCAATGCCGAGCAAGCAGCCCTGGCAGCCTCCTGACTGCCATGCAGCCGGTTCACGCCAAGAAGCTTCTTGACAGCCCATGACAGCCCTGAGACTTCCATTGTGTTGCTAAGGACCTGTTAGCCTAGGGTTGTTATTGTTTCTGGGTTTGGGGTCCCCCCGCCCACCCTCCCCCCCCCCCCCCCCCCAAAGCCACATGCAGGGCCTATGCATGCGAAGAAGGTCGCCATCGCTCCAGCAAGGAGGATCGTCGGGACCCGGAGGCTAACCTGAGTCATGATCCTCTAGCCATCTAAAACTCCAAAACCTGGATTTGTTCAGGGTCACTCCACTGCGAGGTTCATGGCCCAGGAGCTGCCTTCCTAGGGCCAACCACCTCCATGAGCTTCCGCTTAAAGAGCTCCTGGGAGAGGTTTGGGCTTGGAGGAAGTTACGACATGTTTGGGGTGTTAGGCTTCAGGGCTGAGGCTTTGGGAGGTTCGGAGTTTTGGTGTAACAAGAGGATGTGCGGTGCTCATTTATCAATTCAGGGCTTCAGGGCTTCAGGGCTTCGAAGCCGTAGTAGCCTGGGTGCTTAGGTTTAGAGACGTTTTGGAGTTTCACGCTGCAGGTGTTGTTTATGGCTTCAGGCTTCACTTCTTGCAAGTTTGTCCGTCAAACCCTTCACTCTCAAACCATACCAAGGTATTGTAGCTATGCCAAGAGGCATAGCCCGGGAAGACAGAAGCGCCGTACCAGGTATAGCCTTCACGTAGAAGCCACATCAGAGGCATTCAAGGGATAGGATGTTACTGTAAGGCCTAGCCCTTGTCAACTAACTTGCTAACAAAGCAAGGTCGAGAACAATCGGATCTCCCAGCGGAGGTTGGGCAGAGGAATCAGGTTTGTGTTTGGTCAATCCCCTGGCCACCGCGAAAACCTCAAATCACAAGCTCTGGTGCCAACAGTCTCTAGTCTGAAGCACAGCATGATGTGCAGCATGCATAGGTCCTACAGGTGCTCCATAACCCAAGGCGAGGCCCTCCAACAGGTTCTGCTTATTGGCTGGTTATTGTAGAGGTATCGGAAAGACAAGGCCGAGAATGGCTCTTTTCATCAACTCTGTTGGTGCAAAATGGTGGCATATGTTCTTGGATGCTCGTTGTAGTTAAAGCACTCCGTGGCGGCCGGGGCCAACAACACCAGCAATAGCACCTCCACCACAACAACAGCACCAGCATCAGCACCAGGACCAGAACCAACACCACCACCGCCACCACATCCACCACCAACAGCAGCAGCAGCCGCAGCAACAATAGCAACAGTAGCAACGGTAGCAACGGGAGCAACACGCAAAAACACAGCAATAACATGCAAACCTAAGCAAAGCGATGGGAACATCAGAAGCAGACAGGGCACCAAATAAAACCATCAGCTTGCTTGCTGCTTTGCTTACGAAGCTAGACCCAGACTCACAAAACCAGCCCGGCAAAACTACACGAACAAATGCCTCCAGCTTCCAACGTTCCAGTATTGTAGAGTTTACAGAAGAAACCCTCCAAGGCCGAAAAGAATCAGCAATGGTTTCTGGAACCATCCGTGGCCTGCCATGGTGGGCCAGAAGCCCAGAAACAGACCCGACACACCATTCTCCTTCATGGGCGGAGCAGGCATGGGAAAGATACAACAAGGCAAGCGAAAACTGAACCTCAGGAAGCGTCTCTTCTGACGCCCATTCTTGTTGCACATGTGGACTCCACGCGCCACCTAAACTCGACAAGCCCGGCAAAGACCGAGCAAAGCAACCTCACTCAACAACTCAACTTTCTGAAGGTCAGGAACCGTGAAAGCCTAAGGCAGTTGGAGCAAGGCGCTTGCTGGAAACTCGGCACAAGTACGCCCCTGAACCCAAACCCCCTTTCGGACATGACCATCCCAACAAGAAACTGAGGAGGCTCCCAACACAAGACTAGGGAGAAAGCCAGGCCGGAGCATTCTCAACAGCAGCGCAAAAACCTTGCCCACCTTCAAGCGTTAATCGCTGACCGATCCTGGCTCGAAAGCCTCATCCCCAGCATTTTACAAATTCTCTAAAACTTGACAGTTCTCGATTGTCAAACGTTTCGTTAAAACTCTTCGGCTTCTCTAAACGACTGCAAATGGGTTCGCACTGTATAGGGCACTTTGTGAAACTGTACCCAAGCCTGTTCGCAACTAAACCCATTGAACTCGAGCTTACCCTTGCGGTCGCTTTCCTTCACCAGCCGATGGCCGGCCGCCAGTAGGCCCAGATTGCTGAAGCGACTAGGCTCCGTCTGCTGAAGCGTCTTCACCTTGAAGTTTTCAGGCTCAAGTGTTCGAAGGGAGCCGGGTGGTTGCAGCTTAGGGGGAAATCAAGGGATTCGGCGGGTTCTAATGGGTTTTTGGGGCTGAGGCTGCGCTGAGAGTTTTCAGGATGTGAAAGCGAACGAAAGCTGTCTCCCTCCCTCTGGCTTTTGGTCTTTCTGAGGGAAGACACGGCTTTCCACCGGCTCGAGGAACCTTTCTCTTCTTTTGAGTGAAGGTGTGGGGTGGGAGAATTGCTTCTCGCTGAAAAGGAGACGCATGTTGCTTGGCTGAATCCTCCGTTCGAATTCGATGGGCTAATTGTGTGAACATGTGTACGGCGGAGCAGCGACAGCAGCTAGTGCCACATTATGCTCGTTTGGGTTCGGCTTAAGGGACAAGGGTTCCGGCAGAATCGGACCAACGCTACGGCAGAGTCAAGTCCCCAAACTCCGAGCCCAAAGCCCAATGCGCAGATGAACTGGGTGAGGCGACACGGTTTCGAGCTTCGCTTCCCCGACTCGTGATCAAGCAAACACATCCAGTAAGGCTTATTTGAACGTTTGACTGCACAATCGTGTGGCTAGCGGCTACCTGCTTTCTCTGACCCAAGCCAACGTTGTTCTCATGACATTTTTCCTGCCTCGAAAGCTGAGTGACGTTTTCTGCTGACCCATCTGCCGAAAGCCAATCGCCCAAAGGAAAATTGATTGCCTTGCAACTAAGAAGATGCTCTGCCTCACAACCTGACTTTACGGGTGGGCCAACAATCCATCCCTTTGGCCACGGGCACCCTTGGAACAGAGAAGGCATTTCGTGTGAGCCAGTGAGACTGCCAGTATTGCAGAAGCCACAAGACGTTTCAAGGCTGTACTTGTTAAGGCGTCGGGGTTTCAGGTCATTGGTAAGCTTTGGAATGCAAGTGGAGGATTCGAGGCAGGTGGCCTTGTCAGGTACTGAAAGCAGTGTAACAGTGCACGCAAAGCTTTGAAGCCTCAGAAGCCTCAGAAGCCCCCTGCCGACTTAGGGATGATTTTGCTCGAAGCCTCTGAGGGCTTAAGAGCCGACATGCGCAAGGCCGCAACGGCTGAAACCCTGAACCTCGACCTAAACATCGCAAGTGACGAGAGCACTTTTAAATGTTCTACCCGGTTCTACCCAAAGGCAGTCGGCAGGGAATAATTGAATAGGTATTCCCGCTTACGGTTCCGTTGGAGTCTGAAACCTCTGAGCCTCTGGTTGATGCCTTGGGATCGGACCACGTCTAGGGGCACCAGCGCCACGTGGGTCATCGTGCACGCCAAGGCTCCTTTCATGTGACAGTAGTTATTGGAGTCGTACACTGAGATCATATGAGATCTCGGGCGATGTAGGCTCCCGTAGAGGAGTGGGGTCCCTCACGGCAGCACGTAGCAGTAGGCAGTCCACACTTTGTTCACATCCCAGCCCTTCATATCCCATCATATCACTCCTTTCCTTTGTGCCCTTTGATCGTCCCGGCTTATCCTGGCCTGCCAAGGTGAAGAGTGCCTCGGTGTTCGTAGGCTACGGAGACGTGGTCAGACGAGTGCTCTTGGGGGTAGGCCTTTCAAGAGCTTTCTTGAGGCAGCTTGGGGCATCACATTTCCCCCTTCGAACCAAAAACCCAAAATGATGGCAACTTCAATGGGCGAACTTCCTAAGGTCAGACGCAACTTCCGCAGCCGGCGCCTCAGTTTCAACCCGAAGCAGATTTGGGCTTGTCTAGGTGAGACTTGAAAGGCGTCGGCTTGGACCCTCTGTAAACCCGCTGTGAAGCCCCATGCTGGTAAAACCCTTTAAGCCTTGTAAGCCTTACTAAGCCATAAAGCCTCCTAAACCCCAAATATGGCTTCCCCCTTGAGAGGCCCTCGAAAAATGCCGCGCAAGTGCGTAGATGCGGAAGTTCAGCGGTTTCTCTCGCTGCAAGGGCTGGGCCTCAGGGGTTAAGAGTTAGGGTTTAGAGAATTTAGGGGGCTAAGGCTCGGGGAGAAGTGCAAGACCGCGCGCTTAGGGTGCAGGCTCCGAGCACTTAGCGGCACCCTCGTTCCTGAACCTGTCTTCAGAATCCTAATGGGACACCACCTGGCCTGAATGCCGCCGTCCTGCGAATACTTCTCATGCGCCTCCTGCAAGACAGCGGACCTCGGTCCACAATAACAATCACAAAACTGAAGCAGGAACAGTAGGGACTCAGAATGGTTCCCTTGCTTTTTGATACGTACCCTACACACTCCAAGATCACGGTTCACCGAACGGCTTTCCACTTTCTATCTGCTGCTGGACACGCTTTGGACACCACTGAACAAGACCCGGGCGTCGCGTTTGTCAGCATTGGCGCCGGCAACAGTGCCGCGGGGTCCCGCCACCACTCGGCGTCTGGAAGTCCCTGGGGTCCGAAGGGTCTTGACTTCGACCAACTCCGGCCACTTTGCACTGTGCAAGGTTACACCCGACAGAAACCCCACATCGAACACCGTAAGACCTATGCACTGAAGAAATCGAAGCCCCAAATTCGACCGCCTGTGCAGCTCGTGCCCGGGGGGCCGTCAGCGATGCTGCCACCGCTGCCTCCCCAGGAGGCTTAGGGCTCAGGATGGCAGGAGCCGGATGTGCCACGGATGAGTTCTGTGGTCTCAAACAGGCTTCGGGTGGCGTCAGGATTGCGGCCGTGGGTCGCGGCATCCCATCCTCCATGTGGTTGTCAAGGTGAAAACCACACCCTATAAATATCCTATAAATCCCAGAGTGGAACCCCGAACCCCAGACACCCTTAAACCCCTTGAGCCCCATCATCCTGAACCTTTCTGGGGTCGAGTCATCGGGCCATGAGTGAGATGGGCCCAGATCGCATGCTCTGCGCCTTGAAGCCAGCAACGTCAACCTGCTCCGCAGGTCGGGTTTTGGGATTCATGATCTACAAAGTTGGCAGATTTGAAATTTGGAATTTGGAGTTTCAGGCTTCAGTGCTTGAGGACATCATGGCTGCAAAGCTATACACGCTTGCAATCGAGAATTGAGCACCAGTTCACACAGACCAGGGGGGGAAGGGAACTGGATGCTAGCGCCTTGGCACTCTAAACCCTAAAATCGAAGGAGCACTCACAGGAGCACGATCCAAGTCCCAAAGCGAGCGACATTTCGACCATGGAACGAGCACCTGATTGACCGTTGGAACACCATAGTGTCAAGACATTGTGGTGGAACTTTGGGATCTGCCGATCGCCGTGCTTGACAAAGACCAACACCGATAGAAAGACAGATGCTCTCCATGGTTCAGCAGCACATGGTCCCTTTGTGCCCCTTGACTCGCACACTAGATCGCCTCACCATTGCTGTTCGCAAGGGCTTCTTTCAACATCTGCTCCACTTCGGGCTTTGACAGCCACCCATCACCTATAGACCTGAGAGAAGCATTGCGACTGTCAATGCTGGCAGGGAAAAAAGGCTGAACCTACTCATGCGCCCAACGAAGGGCGGATTTCACAAAGACTAAGGTTGGGGCTGAAACGTGTCTTGTATCTCATCCCTGGCAGGCAAGAGCCGGCACCCCAAACCCTAAGCTTAAGGCCGGAGAATTAAATTAGTTTTTTGTTTGTTTTTTGGATTTTTTTTGCTTTAGGGTTTAGGGTTTAGGGTTCAGGGTTCAGGGTTCAGGGTTTAGGGTTTAGGGTTTAGGGTTTAGGGTTTAGGGTTTAGGGTTTAGGGTTTAGGGTTTAGGGTTTAGGGTTTACCAGTAGCAAGGACAAAAAACACAAAAAAAACCAAAAAAAAACAAAAAAAATCCTAAAAAAAAGACATCCTAAGCTTAATCCTCGTCAAGGCGAAACCGTTGAGGCCTTCATTCCCAACATGATGTTGAATGCAGAAGCACGGAACTGCTCCCTATGCCGACTCTTCAGAAAAGAGTGTCCATTTGTCCATATCTGTCGACTGAGAATGCTCCTTGTCAGCATGCCGTTGCCATCGCGGTCCATGGCGAGGAAAACCTCCATCCTTAGTTCACACGTCAAAGAATTAGGCACACGGAGCGGCAAGACGGCTTTCTTATCCTTACGAGTTCTACCTTAGGAACCTTGGCACGCGCATGTCCAAAGCATGCATGGGGTTCAGGGTGGGTTTAACATTCACAAGATCCACCTTGCTGCCAAGTCACACCTCGTCACGGTCAGTGCTAAAATTTTGATCGAAGAAAGACCCCCGGAGAACATCCTGTCAGGATTTTGAGGAGTAGGGCTTTTTCCTTGCTTGGCGACTTAGAACGATCCAACACACAAGGGTCACCAAAAGCGCCTTCGAAAAATGTACCCGCCAGCAGGTTGGAACTAACGCTTTGAGGGTTGGGTTGGGGTTCTGTAGATGCAATGGAGCTGTCATTTTCTGAGTAAGCGCGAGCGTAGGCAGGAGGGCAGCCTAGAACTCACCCTGTGGCCCTGCGTGCAGCACGAAGAGTCACTGAGTCACCCTCAAATCTACACAAACTTTTTCCAACTGCGCCTCCGAGAGGAGGCCGAAGCACAGCCTGCGAGCACTGAAAATGAACTGAGATGGGAGAAGATGATTGAAGATGATTGCCACTTTCTCACGGAACATCCAAAGGCAAAAACAAATCCAAGCGTGTTGCCCTACCCAAACTCTCCTTAGACCCAACACCTGTCAATACTGAGCCCAAAAGCCCAATTTCAAACAAGTCCACCTGATTTGCTGCTCTGCATCGAAGGGAAATCTCCCCCCAAAACGCTTGATGAGAGCTGCCTGGGCTGGGGAGGTCAGTGCTGCTATGAAATCGCTATTGCCGCAAGGACTAGCCGCGACTAGCCGAGTCTAGGAGTCTAGGAGTCTAGCCCTAGCTCCACGCCATGTGGCTGCCAGCGCCCCGGCTTTTCCACGCCAGCGCTCAGCGAGCGTCTTTGCAACAGAGGCCTCTGCAAGGCAGAGGAGCAGAGAAGGCGGGTTGTTCCTGCTGTCCAGGGCTCCGTCGTTCAACCCCTTGTACACCAAGGTTGGACATGGTTGGACCGGATTCGGGTGTGGGGGTTGCAGGTTGTCGCAATCTCGGGAAGCCTCACTGACAGTCTATACGTTGCATTTCCATTTCTCCAGATCGCCAGCCAGTAAGGATGGCGTAGAACTCTGGGCTCAGGATGTCACATCAGGCAAAAGACACATTCCTCCAACATCATCGACGGAGACAAGCCGAAAGCTTGATTAGATGCTGCTGGATTGAGCTTCAGCTTGCAGAGCTGATTTCCAACACCTCGTCCCATTTTGCTCATCAAGGGCCCAGCCGTGCGCCTCAAACCGTGCGAAGAGCTCCTGCGGCGTTTCCGTGCCGGCCTCGCAAGTGGCGCATGTTTTCTAAGTCCATACGAAGCAAACACCATTGACTTTAGACTCTAAACGCGGCTTCCTCCAGTTGAGAAAGGCTTTCAGTGCTTCGGGGTGCAGGTTCGGGAGTCTCGGCAAAGAAACCCACCCAACCCTAACTCCCAAAGCATCTTGCAGAAGGACCTCCTTGCTGGGGTTTTGGGGCTTCCAGGTTTGTGGGATCTTTGACCTACAGGACCCCTACGATGAAGCTAGCTTGCCTCCTTAAAACACTCAAGCCTTCGAGCGAGGTAATTGTGTGGGCAGGGGGTTGCTGTTTTGGGTTCAAGTGTCCAGGAACCCTTTATGGTGTTAGGCGCGGACCCGCTAAGAGCAGCCTCTGCATCTTCAAATTCTCCGAGCGGCTGACTTTGCCCCGGCCCACCAGGCAGCACAGCGTTCGTCGCGTGCGAGCAGCAGTCTCGCCAGGTAGGCGACGAAGGCTGGAGGATACCTGATGTGCTGCTCAGGGACTGCAATGTCAGTTCTGATGACATGAATAGAGCGACGACGAGACGGACATGATCGGGTTGAAACATCTGAGATCATCTGAGCCTCCAAGCACCCAAGGCTCACAATCCGCATCTGCCGTAGAACGAAGCCCTAGCCCTAACCCGCTAGACCCAACAAACCAAGACGTGATCATTTATGGTGACTGCTCGGGAGCCCAGCTTACCATCTTTGGGTCTTGTCAAAGACTTCGGGGCTCAAACCTGGAACCCTTGAAACCTTGAACACTTGCAAAAAACTCAGTTGCGTGGTGAGCCACTCAGCTCAGGCTTCTCAGAAGCCAGAGCCCAAGATTTCGAAAGGATCCCGAACCCTCAAACTCCTTCTACACAAAGAGTGGAGCTGAGCAGCGCAGCCCAGACGCCTAAATGATCGAGCGTAAGAGCACCGCGGTTTTCCAGCAAACCCTAAGCCATAAGCCTACTTTCCGATATTTTCTTCTAAACCTCTAGGCCCCCGAACCATCCTGAAGCCCTGGAGCCAAAAGGGCCCCAAAAAGGGCAAACCATCGGAGGCCAAGCTGGGCCGAGGTGCTCCGCAGATGGCAACTCGCTCTGATTTTCCAGAGTTTCCAGATCATCTATCCACAACCTGGTTTAGTTGCAAGAGTGACGGTGCTTATAGAGCTTTAGGGAGCTTTAGGGAACCGCTGGAGAAGTGTGTGAGTGGTTCGGGTCCGTTGTCACCTCCAAGGCTTTCACGCTGCTGCACTTGCCATCTCGAGCTTTCTGCGACAGTCTGGCTAAGTCCAGAGCATGAGCTTAAAACCGAAACCCCGAAAACTATGCCTGAATGGGAAACAGCAACGCCAGGCCATAAGGCCTGCAGAATTTCTGACACGAGGTAGTCCCAGGTGCCCAAATAGAGAAGACAACTAGTGTGCAGGATTCGGGGCCGGCCCATTAAGTGCCGTCGTCAACCGATGGCAGCCTACCACTGGCCTTTCTGAATCTGCCGAGGTTTGGGTTTAAGGTGTAAAAAGTTGGGATTGCAGCAGCTCCAGCACCGAGACACAAATTCTTCGTGTACTGCTCCTGTCTTCGATTGCCTCACTTCTCCAGGGAACCCTCCCAGGCATGGCCAAAACATAGCTGGACACTAAACCAACTCGTAAAGCAGCCCTGCCAGCAGCCCTTGATGCGATAGAATCCAGGTTTCGGTAGCAGGGGAAACCCAACGGGTTTGCGTTCAAACTGAAGCGAAAAACGCCCATGATTACAAGCAAATGCGGTTGCTCGGTAGACATGGCGATGCAAGTTTGGAGTTACTGGTGCACGCCAGGCCGCTCACAACCTCCTCGTAAGAAAATGGCGACGCCCCGAGGAGAAAGTCCCAGGAGGCCCTCTTGTTTAAGCCTGAGGCTGCAGAGCTGATCAGGGTGGAGGACTTAGGCTTCGAGGATCGTTCCTGGGATTGGGCCGAAGGACTTTTTGGAGCTGAGCTGCATCGGTCAGAAGAACTTACGGTCTCGAACTGGTTTCATGGTTGCCCAGAACCTTCTGATACCGCACCCTGAACCCCTTAACATGTGCTCACGAGTTGCGAACAATCTTGCTGTACGAAAAGGGCCAAGAGGACTACGCAATGACTTTAATTGGTTTTAGGAGGGGAACCTCTGGACAGAAAACATTGTTGTCACCTCACCACAAGCAACCTTGCATAAAGGGCGGCCAGAATCCTAAACTTAAACCCTGTCGATCTTCCACAACAGCTGCTGGCGGCCGGCGGAGCCACCCTGCTCGATGAGCGCGAAGCTGCACCCGTGGTGCGGGCTGAGGCCGTCCCTGCGGTGCAATAAACCTCAGATTTGCTGACATCCTTGAAGCAGTACCCTCAGCAGTACTCTTGGCAACCCATTTGTAACCGAGAGAGTTCGGTGTGACGTGATAGCCCCGCGGCCAATGGCTGCCATGGGATTGTGTTGAAAGCAGACTCTGCGAGGTCCGCAAGGCCCTGACTGACTGCTCGTGGGTCACACAAACCCCCAGAAAGAAAAAAAAAAAAAAAACGCGTCTTGGTTTTTTTGTGGTTTGTTGCTCCGTTTAGCCGGGTGTGAAATGGACAAAATGGTGGACGTGACTATCTGCACCTCGGTAGTTCAGTATCAGCAGCAGGATGGTGTTTGTCAGCCTGTCAAGATGGGACGACTGCCGCTGCGATACTCGTCTGCCGAGGATTGAGATCTTGGGGTCGAGCCCATCCGACTTTCCGAAGGTTCGGCTGAGGCACGTCTCCGCGCCAGGGCGGTTCTGAGATAGGCAGAATCCCAGCAGAACCTCGAGGTCACGCAGCAATGAACCAAACCCTACTTGGCTCAACTAAACTGATCTCATGAATAAGGAAGGATCTCGCACTCATCTGCTAAATCGAAACGACTCGCCCCAAAAAGTAAGACGGTGCAAAAGCCTAAGGCCACCCATAATCCCGACTCTCGCAACTTGCAGCCGCAACATGCCGCAGGCTTGGGGGGTTTATCGCTTACTTTCTAGGCCCTAGTCCACCTAAACCCTCAACCCTCCTGTAATACATCCCAGATATGCCAGGATATGCCAGGCGCCAGCCGCCAAGTGCAGGGCCCAATGGCCGGCAGGCGGCGCCGTGCGGGCGCACGAGGCGGGGGCTCCATTGGCTTTTGGGGGGTGTGTCGTGGGTGGGGAGTTTTCGTGTTTCGTGCTTAGGTGTTGGGAGTTGGGTTTTTTTTGGGGGGAAGGGCTTAAGTAGGGTTTATCGTGTTTTTTTGCGGGGCCTGGGATTGTACAACTGGTATAACTGCGCCTGCCCGCCAACAAGCGAGGACGTCGGCTGGTGTGGTAGTAGGTGTGGTTTGGCTGGACCGGACCTTTCATGACTGGCCGGCGCGTCCGAACTAGACGGCGCTGCGCATGCCTAGGTGCAGCCTCAACAATTTGAGGTCACGCGAAGTTGCACCACCCAACAGAGAGGAGCCAGACACGAGCAATTTCGGCCCGCTGACAGAACCTGTGGAGCTTCAAATTTGCCTGGTACTATCAGTGAAAGTGTTGCATCACACTCCAGCTTGTTCCAAACACTTTGTTTCCGTGTGTTGAGAATGAATGGATACACAGCTGCACAGCTATATCAGGACTAAGAAACATTTAAGTACAGACCTCACCAGGCTGCGGAAAAGGCACTTGCCAACCCTCAAGCTCCAACCCCAGATCTTGACAACCGAAACTCATAGGCACCGTCATGGATTTCAAAACGTAAGCCCTCTTCCAGTTTTCTCTGGCAGCGCGGCGTCAGGATCGGAAGATGCTGGCGCTGCCCGCACTGCCCGCTCAGCTGCCCATGCCGCCTGTCCAGTGCATGTACAAACCTTCGAAGCCTACTTCCGGGAGCTGCATTCAAGGAATGGACATGGGCTGTGGTTAAAGGTCCTTGTAAGACTACTGCCAGAAAAACTGTAAGGTCGGCAGACCATGTATTTCTCACACAGTGCCAAGCAAAGCACAACAAGGGTACGAGCAGCAGTTCGTACCTGAGCAAGGCCTAACCAGCCTTAACTCCAAACCCTGAAACCATCCCTACGACCAAAAACTGGAATCCCACATCCTGCAAGGAACAAGCGCTCAAGACCTGAAAGCACTTGCAGCCTCAATTTTCAACTTCCCCGGAGGTACAAACGCTTTTGAAACCCTACTTGAGAGCCCGGACCCTAAATCACAACACGCCGCGGGCGGCTCGTTAGCAAGGTTGAGGAATGTCGTCTACCCAGGCCTCTTGTATCCTCTTGTCATGTGCGCTTTGGAATGACTGGCTTTTGCAGGCCTCATATCACGTCTACCAGTGCCAGCAAGTTCTCTTTGCATCCTGATGCTGCTTGAGAGCGTCTTTGCGCTCGACTTGGTCAATGGTGACACTGTGCTGACTCTGCTGTTGGGCACGGGACTTAAGTTTCGGGTTTAGGGTTTAAGGTTTCGGGTCAGGTGGACCTCATGGCTTGCTACGGGCTAGGCCAATGCCGTTCCGCCACGACGCCTTTGGTCCCGGCATCGAACATTCGAATCTAGCCCTACACGCGAATTGCTGTGAAACTGCTCGTGGGCTCGAAAATCTTGTGGCCCAGTTACGGCCGCATCCCCCTTTGTCCAGGATGTATGCAAAGTGCTTGCATTTGCTCAGTCGCAGTCAGCATTCGAAGTGCCCCCTCAAGGGCCCTAACTCTCCTACATCTCCCCTCCCCTGGCAGACGGCATCACGTTTGGATTTCAGTCACCATCGGAGCAATCTTGGGGGAAGGCGGCTTCTGAAGCCCAAGAGGCACATTCGCACACAGGGACGTGTCCGCCAGCTCCTGCCAAACACCACAATGGGGTTCCTGTGGGGGTTCCTAGCCAGTTCCCAAACAAGTAACTCTCACTGCCTCTCACTGTCTCTCACGGTCTCTCACTGTCTTACTGTCTCCCTCTCACTGTCCCCATTCGTGCAGAGGACAGGCACACTGTTAAGCATACTTCCATTGCCAGAGTGAGGTTGCTCGATCTCTAACCTTCAGGATGTTGCCTGTTGTGTAAGTGGGTGGCCGAGCTCTCCATGGTCCGTTCCCGATTTCCGAATTCTGGGTGGGTCCAGAGCTTAAACAAAATTGCGAAGTCCATGTCAGGCTACCATGAACTTTCAAGTACCTGATTGAGGCCAGCGGCGATTCGTGCACTACTCGTGCCGCGAAAAATGAACGTAGAATGTGGCAAACGAAAGTTTCGGGGTGGAGGTTTTTGCATGAGACTATTGTAGCCAACCAACCAGAGTGCGACAAGAGCTCCCCTCAACATCCCTCAGATCCAGTGGGTGCCAGAAACTACTCCTGGGCTCCTGTGTGTGGTCGTCGCCTGGCAGCCGCTGTGTCAGGCACTTTATGCTGCGGACTTGCCCGCCGTGGGACACTGCAGTGATCTTGATCTCGTGCCTTGGCTCAATTTCGTGCAAAGCACGAGAAGTTCTTGAGCGCTTCCGTACACACTACCCGAACCCACATGTCACAAGCCTGATAAGCAACGCTTGTATAAGCAGAAAATTCTACTGCAAGAGGCAGTCCTCAAGCCAACACCGCAGACCAAGATGCTTGGACACGGTGAAGTCCATGAAGCCGTACCTGGAAGCAGGTACCCCTGACCAACCCTACGTCATGCTGACCTACATCCTGCATGGGGACTTGGGAGACTTCAAGTTCGAGGTGAAGGTCTGGGGGTATTTGGGGATGTTGTGGCTGTGAGGCCTTTCCCCTAGCCTAGGGTCTGGCCAATTCTGCCCAAGGTGCTGGTCGTCCTCACCATTCTCGGAAGGAACAGCCTCGGAAGGTGGTTCTGAAGACTCCCAACACCCATCCCCTCAGTCATTGAACTCTCTTTCCTTCCTAAGAACCCGTCAAAAGTCCTGAAGACTTATATTCCGAAGCGCAACCGGAACTGAACAGTAGTGCAGCTTGACACCTCCGAGGTAATGCCCCCGCCGCCGCCACTGACAACGAAAGACGTGGGGTGGAGGATATTGGCCTCGTCCTGGGGGGTTGATGGGGTTGTAAAGTTCTGGGCCACATGCTCCGCAGATCGACTTCGAACTTTACGGGCCATGGGGCATGGGGTTTGGAGCCTCACCGACAAGTTGGACGTGAACTTCTGGCTGGAGGAGTAGTGAATGTTGTTGCTGTGTGAAGGTTTAGGGAGCTTAGGTTGGAATTCTCTGGGTTTTGGGTCTTGCCTGGCGCGAAGATTATGGGTTTCGGGGTTGTGTCTCTTTTTTCTTCAAGGGAGGTTCAGTTCGCCACATGCGCAAGTCTCTGGCCTTTGATAGAATCTTTGTGGATGAAGGATGCTCACTTCCGGTTCCGTGGGAATGTGACCCAGCCTGCTCTTTGGGGGTTTCACATGGCGTTCCTTGCATGTTGCGGCCCAGCATCATCCACGTGCACCTCCTGAACGTGGCGATGGGCTGTTAGGAGCAGATCCACACCGTAACCTGAGCCGATGCCGGGATTATTACAGTCGAGGCTTGCTCCGGGCGTGCCTCTCTGTTCCACTGCGGGTGCTGTGTAGGCGTGCGTGTGTCCTCACTACACACATGTCCACAAGTAAGAATTTAGCAAGCCGGCCTAAGACTCACCTCAGCCTGGGGACTCTTGCTCAGGCGCCGCCACTGGTCGAGGCCGTGCTCAGGTGGGAAGTGAGTGGCGATAATCCTCAAGGCATTCGCAGAGAGCATTTGGATTGTGTAGATGGTGTGAGGGCTTAGTAGGCGTTGACTCTGTGAGGTTTATGGCTTTGGGCTTTCTGGTAACCCTGAAAGCTTCAACGTGCCGTTGAAGCTCTGCCAATCTGCCGTGGACGAGCCCAGGCCCTCTTCAAGCCACTTCACCTGCGGGTCGCTGATCTTAAGACATTCTGGACTGCGTTCATGCCTGGGCAGACAAGGAACGCATCCAGCACTTCGTTGTTTCCTTCAGAACTGTAAACAGTGTCTGTGGATTTTAAGAGTCACCGCCAAGCTGCCGCCAAGGCAATCGTTGAATAGTTTGTCGTTTATCGCCGCCCCGCGCTCCCCCCCCCCCCCCCCCCCCCCCGCCCTCTGTGGCCTTCTTGGCCTCGCTCGGCTCGGGCGTGCCCCCACTCGCTCTGAGACCCCAGCGTGCGCTCGGCGCTTGGAGCTCACCAAGCGATTATCCACGCAGCCCTCGTCCGCCTTGTGTGAGTTTGCGCGCAGCAATGGCAGGCACTGTGAGTTGCTGGACTCCCTCAGGCCGGCTAGCCTCCAGCTTGCGTACCGGTGCTCCGCTGATATCCTCATCCTTTATCTGGAAGGAAACCCATCTGCAATCGACTTATCGACTTGCAATCACCGGCCCCCGCAGGGAGACCCAGACTGCACGCCCGACATGGGGCATCCAGCGCCTTCCGCTTGTTTTCGAGATTACGGGAGCGTGGGACAAGGAGGGCGCAAGGACCCTGCGCATCATCGCAACCACTGCTGCCGCCCGTGAGGGACCCATTCTGCCATGCTGGCGGGCACAAGGTTCCAAGAGCTCTCCATCACCATCCGGGCACAGCTGCAGGGAAGCCTCAGCCATGCCCTGTGCGTCACAACAGTCACGCTGCAAGGGCAGACGATGTGATGATGACAAATATGTAATCTGGCTCCGCCCTGCCCACAGAAGTGATGTAAGCGCGGAAAGTTGGCTTAATGTAGTCTGCGTGTCCGACTTGAGTTTATTGCTCCATCCCAAGCACACATAAAAAGAGGCGTAAACGCGTAGCGCAAGCAAGTTTAGGATAAGCCAGCAGCTCAGGGACGTGAGCCCGAAGCCTAAATCCCAAGAAACCACAAGCACCAAGCACCGAGGCTGGAAGGTGTGTTCCCCCAAGCCCAATCGCGAGCCTCAGCATCCCAGAGGTTCTTGAACCAATCGGCGCACTGCCTGAGTCTTTCCAGATGTTCTAGGGTTTCTTGTTGACACACTCGGAAGTTTAAGAAGTTCAGGGCTTAGCTTAAACAGAGCTTAGGGTCTCAAAGAGTGTAGCCTTGATGCAAAGCCCCCGAGCCCCAAAGCACCTCCTCCCCCGTCCCTTTCTTTTTTCGAGAGCCGGGCGGCTCCGTGGACACCGGGCCGGAGAGTCCACAAGTCGCAGACGGGTAGTTGTGGGTCCCTGCGGTTCAGGTGGGTGTAACTTATGTGACAGTGTTGGAAAGGGAGCAGGACAGCAGGAGAAGGTTTTTTTGGCAGCTTGGCATGCTTTGGAGCTTCGGAACGGCTTGTCACCTGGCGCTGCCTTTTTCTTGCTGTTCCAAATCCAGGCCCCTCCGGGCCTGCGCAAATGTTGTGACCGCTGGTGTCGTGGTAGTCGTTGGCATCGAAAAGGTTCGAGTCGACAAAGAAGAAGTCCATCGAAAAATCATTGAACTTTACCTTGGTCCATGGGTGAGACATGGGTGAGCATGCCCGTGCTTAAGGGGGCTTCGAGGTCGCAACGTCTTGCCGATGCACCAAGTGCCTCTTTCAAGGCCCACCCAGAGGTCGAAGTTCCGCAACGACTCAAACCACTCTGAGCACTACTCCGAAAGCCAACTTGCAGATGGGTTTAGGCTTCAAGGGCCGTATAATTCAAAACCTAAGTTTGGGCGTTAAGGATAGGATTAAGGAGCGTAGCCCGACATCACCCATCATCACCACTAGTCCGGACCAGGTGGCTGGGCATTTGTAGTACAGGGCCGGCTGCAGCCATCGGCCAGTGCTAAACCTCCATTGCCGTTGTCAGTCGAATACCGGATTTGGCATGTAGAAGACATATGCAATACCCTGCATGTTGTCCTGTGACTGTACCCTGAATGAACCTTAAACTGCGTGGGCCCCAAACACTGACCCTGAGAGGCTTGCTGTGGAGATGAGAGGCTTCAGCGTTGACCAGGTGTACGCAATGACCTGGTCCCAGCCATTGGTGAACATGAAGCCACCGTAGTCGTGGTTCCCAAGCACCCCCAGCCACTGCTTTCCTTCGATTTTTGGACTTTAGGTTGTAGACCTCAAAAGCAAGTCTTCATGGCCATAGACTTCTGAGCCAGCAGAGCCAGCAGAGGCAGCAGAGGCAGCAGACGCAGCAGCGGCGGCAGCGGCGGCGGCGGCGGCGGCAGCGGCAGCGGCAGCGGCAGCGGCAGCGGCAGCAGCAGCAGCAGCAGCAGCAGCAGCAGCAGCAGCAGCAGTTGTTATTACAGCAGCAGTTTCAGCAGCAGTTGCAGAAGCAGTTGCAGCAGCAGTTGCAGAAGCAGTTGCAGCAGCAGTTTCAGCAGCAGTTGGAGCAGCAGTTTCAGCAGCAGTTTCAGCAGCAGTTTTAGCAGCAGTTGCAGCAGCAGTTGCAGCACAGCAGTTGCAGCACAGCAGTTGCAGGCACAGCAGTTGCAGCACAGCAGTTGCAGCACAGCAGTTGCAGCACAGCAGTTGCAGCACAGCAGTTGCAGCACAGCAGTTGCAGCACAGCAGTTGCAGCACAGCAGTTGCAGCACAGCAGTTGCAGCACAGCAGTTGCAGCAGCAGTTGCAGCAGCAGTTTCAGCAGCAGTTTCAGCAGCAGTTGCAGCAGCAGTTACAGCAGCAGTTTCAGCACAGCAGTTTCAGCAGCAGTTGCAGCAGCAGTTTCAGAAGCAGTTTCAGCAGCAGTTTCAGCAGCAGTTGCAGCAGCAGTTTCAGCAGCTGCTTCAGCTCAGCAGCATCAGCAGCTTCAACAGCTAAAACCATAAACCTCTGCCACTAGACCTGCAAACAGCAATACCCCCTCCAACTACACATCGCCCAACTTCCTTCCAGGCCGTCGCAGGAGTACATCACCTCGTAGATGTTGCTCCACTGAAAGCCTGGATCCTGCATGGGGTTCACGCTTCTGACATTGAGGCACTGAGGGGTCTCATGGCAACTTGATAGCACTGCGTGGCGGAGTCTGAACACGAAACCCGGAAACTAGCGGTCTCGGCAGAACTGCCGAGTGCACCGGCTGCTGTTGAAGACATTGAAGAGACGTCAAATACACTCCCGGACCCTCGGACTCTCACCCTAAAAGTCAAGCCTGCAAATCCAAGAGAAACCAACCAGTCCTGCACTTGGTCCATCGGGGCACCGCATTGGACGTTGAGGCCACCCCAGTAGAAATTGTCCCCGAGGTTGACAATAAACTCAGGATCCCACTTCTTGGCGTAGTAGCACATCCACCTTTGGGGCACTCAAGAACACAAAAGCCCTGCACATCTCCGAAAGTGGTGGGGTAGCGGCCGGTACTAACGGAATGTGATGAACTTTGCCAGGTATCCGGGCCAAATGTGCGAAGCACTTGTTGGTTCAGAGTGGGGCTCAAATACTTCTTCTCAGCCTCTGTTCTCGACCCTTACCTGCCTTACCTGCCTTACCTCCATACAACAGGGTCGGGCCTGCTGACGTTGAACTGCGCCCAAGTGTCGGAAGAGTTCACTTTCTTCCGATGATGGGACGCGAAGACCTGCAGTTCGACACCACTCACCCAGTGACCCCACATTCACCGTATTCACCTGCAGGCTACCCGGGGGCCTTCTTCGTGTGGTCCGCGGTCTTTGGCGATTTCACCTCAACTGTGTATGGGTGGGTGGCCTTAGCGTAGCCTTAGCGTGGAGTGTCTGATGTGTTGGCCTTCGCTCGGAGTCCAGCGCTTAGCTTTCCGCCGTTGAAGACACGTCGACAACAATCAAAAGTTATGTTGAAGAGCACGCCGGGCACAAAATTCGCATCACGATCGAACCAGTCGATGACGCCGCCCCAATCGCCGATCACAAAGAAATGATGCAGGCCCTTCCTCGAGGAGACAATTCGCTGAAAGGGTTTAGGGTTCTGAGCTTGCTGCTAGTGACCTCTGCAGGAGATACTCAGACAGCACTTGAGACAGCCGACTTCGCAGCTTCAGGCCTTGCCATTGGACGATTGTTGAGCCCTATGTCCCTGTTTCTAATCAGAGATGTGCCGCCCGCGATTTTTTTCCACTATACAACGACAAAATTTGGTCTAGTCATTCTCGTCCACACACTGGCTCAAGAAACACAATAGGGTCCTGATGGGTCCCGCGCGGGGGCTGGGAGGGCGGTCTGGCAGGGGTCATGAGGACACCTGCTTCCTTGCGACTTAATATCCAAGCCAAATAAGCTCGACAATCAATTGCCGTTGCTGTTTTTCCAAATGCCCCAAAATCACACTTCTCTTTGTCTGACTTCGTATTGTGGCTGTTTCTACATTTCCGTTCGTCGGTGGTCTATCTATTTCTGTACTTGCAAAGAATGTTCTGAAAAGCTGATAGTAAAGAGAACTGAGAAGTTGTCAGGTGGTTTAAACACGATGTGAACGACTGGTTCCTCATGACAAACAAGACCAGCTCGGAAAGATTAGTCAACCTGAATGAAATACATCAACGATCTCCGCAACATGTACTCGTTGTAGCTGCAAGGCCACAAGCTGCATTATAACCCACGGGGGAGCACACCTGTACGTTCCGGCATGTAGCCCTCTAAACTTGAAGCAACTGCCATCGTGCTCCTGAAACGAGAAGGACAAACCCAAAATATCCCAAAGATCCGCAACGCCGACACAATCCCCAAGAGGCCAATCATATCGGGGTTGCTCCAAGCGTCGCGTCGTTCAAGAAGCACGTCTCCGGCAACTCTACACCATTGAGGTCGGTGGACAGAGATGGTGGATCCTCAAAAGGGAAAGGGTGCAGGACTGGGCTTTAGGATACTGGAGAGGGACGCTTGGAGGCAAATGGCCTGGGCCTGGCGTTTTTGGGACTGGACCAGTGTGGCACCCAGGGATCATGTGGCTTAAGGCCGAAACCCCAGAAATATATATATGAAAACCCTAAGCCTGCCATCAAGCCATGAAAAACTGTGAAAAATCACTACTCCTAAAATTGAAGAGTCCTTCATCTGCTTGCTTGAAAGGTGGCGGCTTTTCAATACAGCAAAACAACGTGTCATTTACGACCACGCCGAAGGTGCCCAACAACAAGCAGGGCATATCAGGCAGGCCATAGCAGGGCATAGCCTTGCCTCCATTAAAATACTACTGGCCATGAACTGTAGAATGAACGGACGCCCTTTTTAAGGCGCGCAAGAGTAACCTGGATAACCTCTCCCTTCAGCCTTTAGGCGGAGGTTGGTTTTACAAAGCTGCAGCCCCCCATTTGCTGTTTAAGGTGTGGCTCGGCAGCTTCCTGGGATCGGGACTTTCGAGAAGGTTCACAGGGCTTTAGGAAAGCGACATCTATGCATGTCTGCGTGTATACATGTGTACATGTGTATACATGTATATACTGTATAGATCGTTGAACTCTAACCCCTAAGTGGAGAAAAGCGGGTCCTTTCTGACTCGGAACCTCGGAGTGCAAGGTCCGTCCGGCACCTCGCGCTCTAGAGACTGGACAGGGGTGCGCCATCGCAAAGCTAAAGGCCTTCAAGGGATTGAGGGCCGAGCTTGAAGGCATTTGAAGGCATTTGAAGGCATTTGAAGGCATTTGAAGGCATTTGAAGGCATTTGAAGGCTTGAAGCTTAGGAGCTGGAAAAGCAAGATTCTGGGGTTCGACCGGGTCTCGGTTTCGGAGCCTCCCGTTTCAGCGCTTAACGAGCGACTTACACTACTTCGTTTCTGATGTCTGTGTGTACTTTCTCGGGATCATGTAAAACTTTTTGCCGGCTTTTGAGATGCGACAAGTGCAGGGTTTTGGGGCTTCGGCGCAGCACCTCTCAATCTCTGAATGTCGCAACCCAAAATCTCCGTCAACTCCGTAACCAGCAGCTGCACGAAGCAGACGCCTCAAGAGTTTGCTAAACGCTAAGCCGTGAAGATTCAAGGGTTGATTAGCCCCTACTGCCGCCTTTACATCTTACCGCTTTGTATGCCCCCGAACCTGAAAATCTCCTACCTTCAACGTTTCAACACCCTTCAACCCTGTGACCTCTGCATCTTTCCAAGGCTTCGTCTTCAGGTTCGGCTGCACGTGTTGGCCCTCCCAGACAGTGCGTCTTTTCTTGTTGCCGGCTTGGGCGTGCAGGGCGTGCTGGGTTTATGGGCTTGGTGCTTAAATTAAAGTCTTTGGTTTTGGGTTTCGAGTGTTGAGGGCAACAACTCTTGTGGGCAGTTTCTGAGCTTTTGATGAAATCAGGGGCTCGGGTTTCAGGGCTTCGGGCTCCGGACAGAATGTGAGCGGTTAAAACCTGAGACGCCCCCGGCCCCCCCCCCCCCCCCCCAACCCCCAACCCAAGAATGTCAGGCATGTCTGGCACGTTTCTTATGCCCCGTCGGCCCGTCGGCTCCAAAAGCATGGTATGAAGTGAACGATCCAAGCAGCAGATGTTTCCAGCGCAGGCTGCTCGACCCAACTTCGCTTCTTCTTTCATTCTCTTATTCTCTTGTGCGTTCGTTCACTGCTTGGATGTACTTAATGTTAAGTGCTTTTGTTCGGCCATTCGGTCCAGATTCACGTCATTCCATCACTTGATGGATCCAGGCGTTATTGTCATTCCATCTTCGTTCTTTTCATTCACTTCTCCGTTTTGTTGTGTCCCGAGCAAGTTCAACAGCTGCGCCAGTTATTGTTGGTGGCTCGGGCGTGTTGTAATCTGGCCTCCAGCCGAGGAGATATCGTGGCGAAGAGACATGTTTCGTTCTCTCAGCTTACGCCCCCTCGGGCGCCGTGAGGGCGCAAAATGGAATAGATTTGGGCTTCGGTTTACGAGGATTTTCGGATCTGGTAAACAATGGCCTTCGAAGGTCCTTCCAACATCCCAGACAGTCAGCGCGCCTAAGGACTGAGGAAACTAAGTTGGACTGCCTCTGCAACATGTCTCGAGCTGTGGCTTCTTCCCAAGCACGGGGTAAACGAATATCCCTCTTATCAAACCTCCCACAACCCCCTAAAACCGAAAGTCTGAACCCTAAACCCTATAGACCCTCGCTCGCGTCGTTGTTGTCAAACAGGAAAGGGATGAAACAGGCAACAAGAAGTACGTGTATCCTAGTATCAAGCTCCGGAAAACTCAGTTTTCAACTTTCTCAACCCCGGGAGAACAGAAGCTGCCCGAGATGCCCGAGGCAAAGGGCCTGCAGCTCTTGACGGACCTCATAGAGCGTCTTCAAACCTTCGGAGGGTGGCGGACTCTGCAAGGATGCTGGGCTCTGAGGGAGTACCCAAACATGGTCCAGTAGAACGGCTTTTGCCAAATACTCGGGCTGCTAGATACAGTAGCTACAGGGTCCGGAAAGCATCATCCAAAATGAGGGATTTGAGGCTTACACTGAGCCCTTGGAAGGCATGGTCAACTTCACAAAGCAAGCTATCTGCAGATGGCCTCCAATTCTGTATGTCGTTTCTCCGTGGAGAAAGTTCCTTGTCGTTGTTTCGTCCGATGCTGGAGCTTGGGTGGTGGTGGTGGCAGGGGGGGGTGGGATGACACCGGGCTGTTGTGGGGCAGGTGGAGGTGGAGGTGCGGGTGGAGTGTTGCCAGCTCCGGAACCAAATCCATCGCCATACTGTTCTCCGTCACCATCTCCTTTCACTCCACCATCCCAATCCCCATCACCCCCTTGTCCGCCGTATCTGCTCTGGCCTTGGCCGTCCCCACCTTGGCCATACCCACCTTGGCCATACCCACCTTGGCCATCCCCGGCTGGGCCCTCCCCACCCTGGCCACCCTGGCCACCCCAAGCTGGGCCATCCCCACCTTGGCCATCACCGGCTTGGCCATCACCGGCTTGACCCTCCTCCCAAGAGTGCGAAGCCGGGTAGCCGCCGGAACTTCCGGAAGCGCTGCCCCAGGCGCCATCGGACGCCCCGTAGCTGCCGCCCTCTCGGTCTGAACCGCTGTTGCCATCCCAGGTTCTGAACTCGGAGGCACCATCACCACCAACAGCGTAGCAAAGGACGCGACAGATGCAGAAGCAGATGCAGCAGGCGGTCCATGCCAGCGAGTGCCGCATGTTTGCCATGAGCCAGCACGGAAGTGAGTGTTTCCTAGAGCCACGCCGCGGCAAGGCGGAATGCAAAACCAAAGCAGTCACAGCTAGGGCACTGTCGTCACAGCTACGGGCACTGTCGGCAAGCCTCCTTGGCAAACCTGTACCCAAGCCCCCCTACCCCCACAGGCGGTCGCCATCTTGAAGGGCTTGTAACAGCTGCGGTGGCGAGCCGCCCTTGCAACGCGATTCTGCCTATGGCACTTGCAGGTGCCCACTAGGATTACCTATTCAACGTGGGCCAAATACGTCAGCCCATACCACGCCTAAACATCCTTGCCTCAACTTTTAAAACTTAAGCTTCAATTCCCGCCTTGTGTTCCGAGACTAGCTTTTCGGGTCTCGAGTTGAGATGCACCGAGGAGTCCACTTCAACCGGAGAAAGCTTCTTGTCTTGACCGCTCGGTCTGAGTACAAAATTGTCATGGACTTTGGGTGCAAGAGTCGCTGATCTCCAGTGGGATCTGCACTGCCTTTAGTGTGCGCTTGGTAGTCTGCTTGTCACATCACGGCCAGATCCATTGCATGACGCTCCACCCGAAATGTCGAGGACACCCGAAACGCTAACGTGTGCTGACTCCAACATCCCACAACATGCTTGAAGAGCCTGGCAACCATGTCAATTGGTGAATCGTCAATGCAGGAACTCCGACATGCCATGCCTGCTACGTCTCTTGTTTTCTCTGCAGCGTCGTTAGCCGGGGTTTCCAGAAATGCCAACGCAACTCCATGTGCTGTACAGGGATCTTGGCTGTCCAAGTCCAAGGCTGTCTGAGAGAAGCCAGCACTGTCTGGCATCCCAACTTGGACAACAGCCACCTTGTAGAAAATGTGACTGCGTCCAATGCTTGTCTTCACACTGCCTGAGCCTGTATATAGTCTTGAATGACAACATAAAATTCGACCTAGACCTCAAACCTGCAACTGACAGATGACAGCGGCAAGGCGAAAGCAAAAAATGAACCAAGCAACGGCTGCTCTACGAGTTTTTGGGGCCTTTGATTGAAGAACACCCTACAGCTACTACGGGCTCAGGTGGTGGCAAGGATCTGCAGTTAAATGCTGCTGCGGAGCGGCGCGAGCGTGCAAAATCC